TAAGAGCTGAAGAATCCCAGATCATCCATGTGTGCTATCTGTGAAAATCCACCAGTAAACTAACCAGAAATGTACCAGAAATGAAGAGGCTTTCGTTTTTTTAGGTTACGGTTTCTGTGTGTTCCTCCCCTCCTGCTGTGTTCCGCTGTAGCGGGGAGCCACCTGCCGGGATGAAGGAGGGAGAGCTCCGTCTGTAACCGATTACTCGGTAACGCGTTACTTCAGCAGTGTGAACGAGATGTACGTTTCATTCTCGCGATGCTGCAGCTATACTAATACCGCAAAATACGTTTATTGGCGCATGTTTATGGATGCATTTAAGTGTCAAATATCAGAATAGGAAGGAACCATCCTAAAGCAGCGTTTCTGTTTCATTCATTTCAGACGGGATTTAATCAAAGGTGGAAGAAAACCCGAGGCTCTTTACTGGAGTAAAAGTAGAATTAATGTGGTCTTAAAATATTGAAACTTCGTGTATCTAAAGTCAAAGTGCTGAGTATACCGACTAGCTCCTTTTTAATAACAGTGTTGCAGGATAATAATGGTATGTTTTTAAAAGGAAAAACACGTCAAGTCATTTTAATGTTAGTCGTTCGTCTTTAGAATTTTTTTTGTTTTAAATACTGTGTATATTTAAATTGATGTATTGTATCACATCATGTGTTTTCATGTAGCCTAAGTAGCTATCTATGAGTCTTTTATAATCATACTGGAGTAAAAAGTACAACAATTGCCACCAAAATGTAGTGGAGTAGAAGTATGTGTAGCAGGAAATGGAAATACCCTTGTAAAGTACAAGTAGGCCTATAGCTATACGTATAAATATAATACCTGAGTAAATTTACTTGGTTGGAGTTTTCTTCTTCTGTAATTTGAAAAATGTAGGTTTAATTGATGGGTTAAAAATACGATATTCGCGGTTGACTCGTTTACAATTTACGGTTTTGGTGGATGAAGGAGAAAGTGAAGATATGAAGTTTAACGTAATTGAAATATCTTGAAATTGTTAACAGCGGATTGGAACAATAAGACGCCATCCAATTGTAGGCCTTGACGCTTTTGGCTTTTATTAAGCTGTTTTCTTGTTGTAGCCTACTCTTATTGTGTCGTTTTGGTGAAAGAAATGCGCAAAGTATACGTGGTATCCAAATTGCGATGACACGCTATCTATCACACGTTACGTCAAAATCACCAGACATACATTTGGAAATAGTATGCTTTTTTAAAATAAACTTTCATTTGTTTAGTAAGTTATCTGCTTGTTTTTTTTGGAGACACATTAATGGAATTATTTATAATAATCGCATTGTCAATCATCATGCCTTTGAAAAAATAGTAGTTTTCTATAATTAGATGAGCACTCTGTCCCATTAGGCCTTTGCAGTGTGTGTGTGTGTGTGTGTGTGTGTGTGTGTGTGTGTGTGTGTGTGTGTGTGTGTGTGTGTGTGTGTGTGTGTGTGTGTGTGTGTGTGTGTGCTGTCTCCTGCCTCATTGCGTGCATGATCAGTTCGAATACCTGACCAAACTAATTGGAGTTACAGCATGGGTCAATGACCAAATCCCCAAACATTGTTAAAAAAACACTTAACGATCTAACCTCCCATATTACTGTAATTAGTATTTGTGTTTTAGGAACAGACAAAAATAAAAAGGCCTGTCACGTTCATAAAAACAGTGTGTGATAACGCTTTAATCGTGTTTTGGGTATTAATGTTTCTGAAACAAAAGTGAAAGTTAATTTGTTTGAAAACTAGAGAGAATATGAATTTGGCAGATGTTTGGGTTAACAATGATAAACAAAATTCGATATTTTTCTTTATATTACTGTGAATGAATTCGTGGCAGACAAACAAATCTGATTAAATGTTTAACAGAAATCAAATCCTAATCATTTCCTCACGTTTATATAATATTTCGATTGCACTACCTGAATCTATGATCACATCAAATGCGAGAAAAGCTTTGTGCTGTAAAAAAAACAAATGGAAATATGCCAAAAACACGACTTGTTCAAAGTGATTTCATATTCCAATGCCTTTTGTTTAGCTTTGAAATAAGCCTACACTTTTTGTTTGCAGGGATAAATAGATGGATGATAGATTCAAATGAAACAAAGTAAGAGAAAAAGGCTAACTCTTATAATGGAGACAAACACACTGTAATTCACCTGAAAACCACAAAACAACTCGCTTAATAATGTCCTAAAACTTTGAGAGCTCCCTAATGTCTTTTTGCATGATTTGCCTTGAATGCTGAAATATTCAAACGCCACACATAATGCCAACTAAAAGCCTTTCGATCTAGAAGCTGCTTCAATATCATTAAGAAAATTCATGGGTTCAATATTTCACGCCATTACGAGCGAGGACTGGAGACTTTTATTATTTACATTTTGTTCTCACTTGAAGGTCAGGCAGTTTCTCATTCAGCCAATCAGCGTCGCCTGACAGCAGCAGGAAGCGGAGGCCCTCCCATTAACACCCCTAGTGTCAGCGCTAATGAGGGACACAGTGGCTGCTCTGTGCTCCCCAAACGTGTAAGCGCACACACACCAACACACACACTCAGACCCTTTATGTGTGAGTGTGTTTTTTGTGCTTAGATATTAATGTTGGGTGTACTCCAGAGCCAGAGGGATGATGCGTAAATCTCCTGCAACAAGTGTTTTGTATACACAAGAGGGGATTTAAATGCCAAAAAAAGACACAAAACCATCCCCATGGCGCGTAATTGAATATTGTTATAACCAAAATATACTTTAAATGTATTTAGTGGCTTGAAGTTGTTTCGTTTTGAAACCTAAACAGTAGCCTCACCCCATAGCTTTATAAGAAATGTTGTTGGACTTAGGCGTATTTAGACGTGGCGAAGCAGTGCGTGATTATCCACAACTTTTCTTATTCGATCTTTATTTGGAGACCATACTGCATGAATATATAGCCTAGCCTACATAGACGATGTCCTATGTTGTTAACATACAGGTTTATGTTGGATATAAAACAGGTGGAGAGTTAAGTGACCCATATGCCCATTTTAAAATTATAGCAGATAGACACTTTGGATAAAATAAGCAATAGTTGTGCTTTTTCCCCCCAGAATGGACTCTCAATAAAGAATCTGAAATGTACAGGAAACATACAACACCAATACACAGTGTGCTGGAGTTTATATCCTTTCGTGATTTGTAAATAAACAAAGAAAAAACAAATTTTACGCACAAAAACCCAAAATTGCTGCACGAGTTACAGTGACTTTAATATAAACACGCTGTTACTGCAGTGCTTTGCAAGTTGGTGTATAAGTGATGACGCACATAATAAACACAGAGGGGTTGGGCTCGTGGAGCAGCAGATTTGAATGAAGCGCGCGGGGGCTTTATGGCTGCTATGAAATGTCAGGAGTGTTTAGAAGAACCCGGATGTACCGACAGGCCGATCCACTGTGTCTACCAACAACACGGGGCATTACCGTTTCTAGTTACGATACAAAAACACACACAGCAAATGGTTTATACTGATTTTGTGAGCTGCACTGGAAGTAATGAGTATTCGGTATATATATACATATATATATATGTATATATATACGATATATGGTATTTTGGATGTTCTCATTGCTGCTCAGGATAGTCAAATGCAACCATTACGCATTGAGTAACCGTTCTGCTTTTATGTCATACACTTTCCAGATTGTACAAATCAATTTAAAGTAAATGTTGACAACATTTTACATTTTCTTTTAAATACCTGGGCTACATAAATTATCAGGCCTAGATACAAGGACTCATTTTACTCCGATATAGATATTTTACATGTTTTGGGTAGAATTTTTGCATTTGAAAATCTGATTGTGAACAAGCCACGTGAGTGTTTGAGCGTGGCAGCTCTTCTAACCCTCTGTGATTGGCTGAGGAACCAATTAAAGACCCCAACAACACCTGTGACTTTTTTCAAAAGTTAGGCTACTTTTAATCGAAATGACTAACACAATTTGCTTGACAATAAATAAAATACCTAAACTTTGTAACTCAAATGTAAAGATATCCTTTAAGGATTTAGCCACCAGAGGCTAGGCTAGTTAGCTTATGTGACAATTGTTCTGCTAAGTAATTATCAACAATGTTCGTTATAGATTTTATAAAAACGTAAATTTCATGTTTGTTTTCATTGTTGGTGCAGCTTTTAGCAATGGGGTTTCCATACTTAAGACCAGTCAAAGTACCAATACATTATTGTCAAAATACATCCTTACAAGTATAATCCTGCATTCAAAATGTTACTTAAAGGTGGGGTAGGTAATTTTGGAGAAACCAGCTCGAGATCGCTAGAATTTGAAAATACACAGCCGGAAAAAATCTCCCACTTCCTTACAGAGCCCCTCCTCCAACACACACGAACGCGCACATGACCAATGAGGGCACGAGATAAGTTTGTGCACAGATGGAAGGCTAACAGGCAGGTAGGCCATCCAGTTATTTTAGCCGGGCCGCTAAAATGATTAGTCGTGCTTTTTACAGTATTACGGCTTCCACAGATGACATTTTTTTATGGATTTTTTGTCAAAGCACTTAAGATATTCATTGCTATCGGGATGTTAAGAGCATTCCATGGAATATAACAAAAAGTGTATCTCGAGCCGGTTTCTCAAACTTACCTACCCCACCTTTAAGTACAATCACAAAAGTATTATCAGCTGTAGGCCTACTTAAAGTATAAAGAGTAAAAGGTGTGGCTGGGTGTATATAATTCCACATTGTTGCAGTAGCATTTTACTTTTGTAGACACAGTTCCGATTGACTTTTGGGAAAATGTTTAAATAATGTGACTTAAAGAGTTAGTCCACTAGTTTCATTCTGAGAGATGCATTTAAAGCAGTTACATAAATGTAGTGGAGTACAATTACATTATTTCCCTTTTCAAATGGAAGTAGAAGTAAAGCCGACAATGGAAATACTCAATACCTCACTGAACAGTAGCCTACTTGAGTAAATTCTTCCTCACCTGAGTTTCGGAGAGGTTCAGCTGCCTCGCGAGCTCGGTGCGCTCGCGCCCCACCACGTACTGGCACCGCTGGAACTCGAGCTCCAGCCGGTACAGCTGCTCGGCCGTGAAGGAGGTCCGGGTCCGCTTGGGCCGGTCCAGGTCGAGGCCCTTCGGCAGGACGATCTCCCGGATGGTGCCTTTAGCGTCTGCGAACAAGAACACAACGAACAGTTAGACGTGGATTTTCTTGCCGTTTTTGTAGTAGAGATTTTATTATACGCTATGCTTTTATTTTGAAGGGGGAGACAGTGGGTGGCGGGATTGGCGCACAAGAGATGGCAAATGGTTATTTACCGGGGTAAGCACCAGGATATAATAACTGTAGAGCACTGTTTGGTATTGGATCATCGAAATACATGCACATTAAGGATGGAGTTACATTTTTACATGTATCTCTTAAGAATTTTGCCGCTACACAATATAAACACTCAACACACACACAAAATATAATATGAGTGGTAGACTATTTTACAGTTGTAGGTTATAAAAAAGTTAAACACAAGTTTCTTTGAGGTGGTTTATAGGCCTACATGTAACCAAACTGATGTATTAATAAGCAGTTAGGCTTATGGCTTAAAATGGTAAAAGAGAGTGTTAATGACACATCTGTGCCCTGTGAAAGAGGCCCTTTTGTCATATACTGCCTATTTACAAAAGCGTTGTAAACATAATAACTAATAATAAATACTTGCCATTACATAAATGTATCAGTTTCAGGAAAACCTAATGTTTGTTGCTGAGATGTTCCTCAAGTTAGGATGAATCCCTCTGCGTAATGTTGTTCCACGTGACTGTGGGTGCAGGCTACGTCAGTCATGCGTACATAAAGAAATATCTTGTACTTTCATTGACCTAACACTCCTATTTAAATCCTTGATTCAAAAGCGTTTGCAGCAAGAACGGCTTATTAGAAGAAAAAGCACACAGTGGGATAAAAATAAACGGAGATTTGTGTTGAGTGCTGTGACTGAAAGCGAGGAATATGTGTTCAGGGCCATTCGGTGTTTTACAACGAGTGATCGTGCACTTAAAGGTGGCATAGTTTTATTTCCCTGCATGGAAAATCATTGACAATCAACAGTTTCACTTTCAACTGTTTCACTTTTCAACTGTTTTCAAAGTCTGTGCGTCAGTATCCCTCAACAACGACAACAACATCAATGACACCTGTTTGTTTATTAGGTCAGGTCTATTATAGGGTCAGGTGTTTTTTGGTTATAGTACATTCAATTTTATATTTATCTAGTGGGGTCGTTTGTCACACATTGTCTAATGATTGCGTCGATCTGTCCAAAATATTTTCTGTAGAATAAAAAAAATTAAAATTAAATAGATTTTTTGTTTAAATGTGTACGAAACCAACATATATTAAAAGGTAGATTTTGGTAAATACAAATAATAATATAACCTATATCCTGGATGTGTCAGGGTCAATACACCCCGCCCTGGATCCAGGTTATTGTCGACACTAATTAATAAAATGTGTTAAGGACACATTTTATTGTTTTAAATACCCGTTTCAAACCGTAAAATCTGTTTACTTTAGCTACACTGTAGCCGGGAATATTTGTTGGTATTTATCACATTGAATGGAAACGCAGGTCAGACAAGACCTCCTCTTTGTCCAGGGTTTTGAGGTCATAAAATATGCAATCCAATAAAATATGAAGAGCACTGAATTAAATATGAAACAAAACTGATTGAACCGAACATCTATAGAGTTCTGTATAGGAAAAGTACCGCCTGCAGTTACCAAAACTATATGTAACAGATATAAACTGAGTGCATTTATATAATATTAGCTATAAAAAGGGAATTCAAAATTGCCTTACATTAAATTATATTTAAAAGCGTGGAAATATAAAAGAAAAAAACAATATGAAGTTCTGACATACAGCAGATGTAAAGGGAGAAAAAATGAATGCGTAAAAAGAAGAATGTGGGCTGCTTCTGCTAGAGCATAGAAAACAAAAAAGTTAATGAAACGCAGTAATTTAATCAGTAAGTACCCCCGTAGTGTAATAAAATGTTATTTCAATCACAGGGGCAGTTATTCTTCAGTGTGTGGTTAGCCTAGAGGCCTAAGATACATAATGAAACATGCCTGAGAGGTCTCCATCTTTACGCACGGATTATGCCTTTGCGTAACTCGCCAGGCAAGTTAGATATGTTTTAAACCCTCCAAATATTCAGATGTACATGTACAAAATGTTCTTCCCTGGCTCCACTAGAGAAGGGAAATAAATAAATAAATAACAGCTTACAGTGTGATGGAAACATTTGCAGGCAAAGGAGGTGCACCAGCGGCATTACGCAGACCTGCTGACCTCTCGGTGACCCCGCCTCTGTGCCGAGCATCCAGACTCGGCTTCAAAAACAAATCCTGACACTGCGGGCCTCACCTCTCCGTGTAATGTACATTATATTCAGAAGAAACCAGGCCCACATCCCGGTCCTTATTCAGGCCACATTTCTCCCCTTTAACCGGCGATTGATTCAACAGAAGCCATGATAAATCACTATATTTAACACAGTTTATGAAAACATGCCGGCCACGATCTCATGTGAAGAAATGCATAATCTCATGTACACGAAAAAACAAGTTAAAGCCAACCAATAATCCTTAAACTGATATACTTCTAAATATATATAACCTGCTCTTTATATTTTTTCTGGAACTGACGACGAATCTGAAGAAGCAACAACAAATGTATCTGAATCCACGTTTAATTGTTTCCTTCTTTCTGCATTTTTTCTTCTCCTCCTCGCACATTCTGTGGCCTTCATAATAGTATTTATTTGGTGTTTTTATATTAACTTTAGCCTCATGGAAACGAGTAACGGTTCTTCTGTTTGGCACAGGACGACGCACGAGTTTACGTTCAATAAAGGATGCATCTAACCAGCCAGCAACAATAATATCCACAACATGCAGCCTATAACTGGCCACATATTGATTCTGCCCACAGCAAACAACCACACAACGCTGCAAACATACTGCACAAAAATACAAGTTGTTATTTTAAATTGCATCCTTTTTTTTTTACGGATAGGATTTCTGAATGGAGGGGAATCCTGTAACGTGCTGACTTTGTGTTATTAGTGAGCATTACATAGAAAATACCCTTCATGTAGAAAATGGCCTGAATTCAAAATATGTCTCACGTAGCTTAATAATTGTATTATCTAATTTAGATGTATCCACTCGCTGGGTCTTTCCGTTTACGTGCTTGCATGTAACATTTAATTTAACATAATTCAAACGTAAAATAAATACAAATTATTTCAGATGATTTAGATTTAAAATGTGACTCCAATACAAATCATGTATTATTACAATACAACTATTTAATTATATATTATTAATTTGAACAAATGACCAAATTGTATCCCTATATTTTATTCTCTGACTGCAGTGGTTTTATCTTAATTTGGTGGATTTTTAAAAAGACTTGCAGGAGGGCGTGGACACTTAATAATTCTGATGTTCATTAACATAACGTTGGCACACAAAGACATTCAGCTACTGACAAGTAAACTACACACACACACTGTCACACACACACACACACTGTCACACACACACACCGCTTCATAGTGGTTATCGATGGAGAGCTATTAATGTTTTATTTATTATCATCAGCTCCTTTGTTAATAATTCTACAGTAACAGCCTACAGGGGGGAATTTCCTCTGATTATAGACAGAAAATGTCCCTCTGTTTGTATATCAAATATGATTTCCAACCTGTGTTCAAAATAAAGATTTATTACATGCTTGAAAAATCATATAGCTATTGTTTTGATTGTTAAATCTGACTAATTCCTTTTCAAACGAACACAAACAAGTCACATCAGATACAGACTGTACCAAATAAGGTTTGTATACGTTTAATTGATTAAATTATACACTGCAATTACTGATTTTATTTTGGGATTGATATACGGGTGTGGTGTTACAGTCATTTGGGTATGACGGAAGTGAAAGTCGCCCATTGTAACCACAGCAGGGGCTTTAGGGGTGTTGTATTCAAGCATCAGTCCAGACACTTTTAGGCTACATTTAATATCTGCCTCATTTCAGTTCAGGATATTTTAGAGTAGCATTTTGACAATGCTTTGATTATCTAACAACTCCAGATTCAGGTTCATGTTTAACAGCACGTCTAGTTATTTTAATTATAGTATTATTGAGCCTATAATTACAGAAGGCCTGCATATTGTTGGGACAATTGTGGACTTCCTGAAACCTCTCCCAGTTTGTGAATTAGTTTTAAATGTTGCGTTCACTTACCTCTTACTAATATCCTCCGACAGTAGTCAGGGTCCACTCCCAAAAGTTTGTCGTGCCCGTCTTCGCTGGAGGACGTCGGGGTGGACGCTGAGGTCCCCGGGGTATCGGTGGAGCTCTGAACCGGGGACCGGCTCCCTATCTCGGCGCGGCACTTCGTCTCCATCCGGTCCAGCGGGTTGGGTCCACATCGGTGGTTCCCATCGCCCATAGTGGTGGTCTGATCGAACATCTACAAGTAATAGTTTTACTCTCTGAAGATAATCTCTCCTTCTGTAGCTGCTCACCTCGTCTTTTACTTTATTCTCCTCTTTGCAAGTGTTCTGCTTTGCATGCCCTCTTCTGCCTCCAAAAATTTAAAAGTAGATCCAGTTACAAGGAAACCATGCACTCCTGTTTGGGAGCCGGTGTGAGATTCAGGTGTCGCGGCATGACGGGCAGAGCAGTCCAAACCAGAGCAAGTGCTCTTACTATAGTAGCCAGGAGAAATGCATGGCGCAACCAGATCTATGGAGGAGGTGCCACAAAAGAACACACACTGCTCACCCACGTAGAAATACAATGAGAGGATCGGCGGTGCACCAAGAGAAGCGGTCACAGTTCACCGGGCACAGGGAAAGTTTCTCCCGGTGCTTCCCGAGCAGCCTGTTACTTCAGCCCCGGTAACATCCACTGCCTCTGCGGATCCGTGGGTGCATGTTGTTGATGGTTAAATGGCCACATAGAAGGGGGTCTTCTGTCAACAAGAAAATATTTGTAGTGTTGAAAACCCTTCAGTATTCGGGACTCTTAGTACACATTTACGCACAAATAAAGTCAGCTTTAATCGTTTGTTTCACGCACGCTAACACCCTGCCAACACTACAGCAGAGATGTTAGTGTGTGGAGAATGTTTGTAGTGACACCGTAATACACTTTACAGAGGCAGGAACCTCTCACGTCACTTCCTGCCTACGCACTTCTCGTCGCGGATTGGCCCGCCGGCTGGGCACGTTTTGACAAGACGATGAGCGCGCTGCAGTTTAGGATCAGGCGCGAGGACATGAGACGATGGTGGTGCGCTTCCGATCCGGGGAAACATCCAAACCCTGTTCTCACTTTCAGATGTTGTTTATTTATTTGTTTTAATGTTTGTTTTATGGAAGGACTTGAGACAATGACCTTCCTTCCATTATATTTTTTTCCCTTAAAACTAACCATTCCAGGTTAAAAAATAAATAAATAGAACAGTAAAAATCAATAAAATTAAACACATTTAAAATCAGTCAAATTAAATAAAAAGTTAAGACAGGTAAGTAAATACAAATATATATAAGTGGGTGAATAAAAAGAAGAAAGACAGGAACATATTAAAAGGTGTTGAAAATAAATAACATTGACTTATTTTCAGATATTGTTTTAGTTTTACAGCCGAACTTTTGAGCTCTGTAAAACAATGGGAAAGCAAAGAAAGTAAGTTCAAATCATATTTAAAATATCACACATTTAGATCAATAATGGGACAAACAATTCACAATGTTACAGATATTAAATATTAAAAAATGAATTGAATTTATATATTTACATTGAACGTATGGTATAAGCCAAATCAATTCATATTGGAAGTAATTTCTAATATTATTTCTAAAAAGAAAAGTAGTTTAGTCCCCTTAGTCGTATAAGGTACTTTTCTAAATGTGTTCTTTGTTAAAATGTCCTGAATTTCAAATGTTTTTCTTTCTCTAAATGCTTTTTCATAACACGATCATTATTTGTATCATCACAAAAATAAGTGTTTTTCAAAATTGCCGTTATTTGTGGTAGCAGAAAATATTCAATATCTTTAAAAAATATCACCTGTAATCTAAAAAAGATATCGGGCCTCTCGACTCATATTTATCACAACCTGTTATTATTTAGGGATGGATTATAGTCCATTACAATGACATTACATCCTGAAAACGAGAGTTGAACAACGTGATGAGTCAACAGGTGTTTCTGTTATTTTGTCCAACCCCTCTCCAAACACCTCAAGTCTTGTTGTATGAAATGTCGATGGCACCCTGCAGAATCTCCTGGATCAAAAAGAGCATTTAAGGAGAGGTTACTATTGGTTTTCCATCTCATTTACGATCCTTCACTGTATATAGGCACACAGCCATCTTCCTCTAACAGCAGCTATTTCCTGCTGCTGATGGAGCAGCCTGCAGTTTGTTGTGATTGTGAAATCATGTCAGCTGCAGGAATGACTGACAACACCGGGTGGAGTTTCCTCCTTACAGGTGAAGCGTCTCTGAAAACACTGCAGAGGAGAACAGGAGGAGGAAGAAAAAAGGATTTTGAGCGGGATTATATAATTATAGTTTTGCCATGTGTGTGTTTTTTCTTATTTTTCTTATCCACGGCCGTAATTACTGCACACACAGCCATGGGTCGTTACTCCTTTCAGCTGGCCTAATCTCACACAGGATGAATAGAGACTGTCAATCAGACGCAGCACTCAGCAGCGAGACAAGAGGGACTGATTGCTGCGACACACACACACACACACACACACACACACACACACACACACACACACACACACACACACACACACCACACACACACACACACACACACACACACACACACACACACACACACACACACACACACACACACGCACACACACACACACACACACACACACTTTTTCGTCCTCCTTTGCAGTGTTTTTTCACCCTCTGGTGCACAACTAAAAACCTTCCAAAAAAGCAGATTTTTTAAACTTTTTTCTGAAGACTGCTCATATTTTATAAATCCATTTGGTGTCATTTTAACATTCATTATTTTAGACTGCTGCTATCGCTTTTGCACTACCTGACACCTTATATAATTTATTTTATAGTTGATGCACAGTGGAAATTGCCTAAAATAAGGTGAAAAACTAGATAGATTATAATATTTCATACCATATTACATTTGACATTTTTTTAATTGCTGCTTTTTACTTACAGAGGATCCCCTTTATTTCCTCAGGGGTCCATTATTTCTGCACAAATATGAACACATGCATGATATAGTCATTAGAAATCAAAATAAAAACATTAAAATCATCCTGACCAGCTGCAATATTAACATTATGTTTACATGCTACTACATCAATAATGCATAATGCTTTACAGTAACAAATTATATTGTGTTACTTTACTTGATTAAAGGAGCTGTCTGCTTCTTATTGCCCATGTTTTTTTAATTACTTCATCCATGGATTAATAACCAAGTTGTCCTACTTTTGTAACGTTATGGAAGATCTATCCGCCTTAGGGCTATGGTTACTGTTAAATAAAGTCATTATTGCGCAGTGTTATTACTCTATAATGATCTGAATGCACTTTCAGCTTGAACCCACCTCAATGAGGGGGAACAAACTCTCCATACAGTATGTCCCCCCCCCCCTCCTCTCTTTCCATGATGTTGATCGAATCTAAACTCAGTTTTATTTGAATCACATTTCTGCTATACTCAAATCTCCATTATGCTGCACAAACATGAAAGTGATGCCCAGTGGCGTCGCCTGGCCTGGGCATCCGGGGCTTTAGCCCCGAATGTTTTTTCTGTAGCCCCGGACAATTCTCCCTCAATAATATAATACATTAACCGTGCTTTACGTGAACCTCATCATGACACAAGAGAGGACGGCAGCACTGTAATTTCCCGTGTTCAGTGAATGCAACAGAGGCATGACACCAGACCAATCAGAGAGTTGCATGGAAATAAACGTGTGCTTGTGTCATTCAAGCTCGGCTCTGTTACTCCATTCACACCAACGGTGTTTCAGGGCCGGTTCGGAGCTGGAGCTTGAAAAGCACCGGGTTTTCCTGTTCACACCGCAGCGGAGCAGCCTCTAAGCTCCGGAATCCGGTTCGTTTCGAGCACCAAAAAGTTGTCCGTCTAGAAGCAAGAACCGCATACGTCACGCTTACGTCGGAGGGGGGCGAGATTAACCTGAGCTAACAGTTAAGGCGAGTACGGCAAATACAAGTTGTAACAAGCAGTAGTGCTGAGCAAAGTGACTAGAACGCAACCACACACTTGTAAAAAAAAAACACGCTTTATAAAGTCAGGCAACACTAACCAGGCTTCGTGTGATTCTGTTTATTTGTACCTTACTTTGACCATCCGTTCGCTGTTATTGATCATTGTGGAGAGCAGGCAGACGTTTTGTTTTGTATTATAGCAGCTATCGGATGGAATCAATACATGGGCTGCACAGGTTGTCATGTCCGACTATCACAAGTAGAATCATAATGAAAAACACGCTGGTAAAAAGTGCCTGTAGAAAACGGCTTAGCAAATAGTCAGTTTAGCTTCGGTTGCTATGCTAACATCACCCATGTTATACCAGAGAAACTTTCATAACAGCGTTGTGATGCCAAACAGCGTCAATTCAGACTGACACCAAACAGCGTCAATTCAGACTGACACACATTCACTTAAGGGGAACTGGGGATATGTATCAGCTGCTTGTGTGACAGTCAGACAGTGAATACTTTAGAGCCGTGTGAGCTAACGGGAGAATACACTCCCGTGGAAGAGCAGCCAGCACTGCAGCGGTCGGTAAATGCCGCTGAAACACATTAATAAACAATGAACCACGGCACTCTGGAGAAAAGTATAAGGTTGGAGAAGTCGTTATTTAATTTAATCTGGCTTCGTATGATTAAAAGCAACACGATCATCGACCCGACGCAGTCCCCGGCCCGTTGTTGTTGTGAGGTGAGCTCCGTTGGGGAGAAAATCAGCGACGTAAACTGTGACGTCATGACGCAGCAGCGGTAGCACCAGTCGGGCTCTGAGCGGTGTGAAAAGAGCCGGAGCTAAACCGAAGTACCGGTTCTGAACCTGAAAAGCTCTAGCACGGAGCTTGAACCGGAGTTGCGTTGGTGTGAAAGGGGTATGTGTGTGTGTGTGGCAATAGCGCATTTAGTGTGAGCGAGAGAGAGAGAGGGAGAGAGGGGGAGGGAGGGACCGGTGTCAGCATGGACCGTGTTGTTAGCATCTGGTTAGCTAGCTGCACTAACGGACATAAGGAGCTGTTTGTTCCACAAGAAGCTGGAGGAGAGTCCTCTCCTCTCAGACTGAGAGACTCAGGTGAGCTAAAGGACTCTCTGAGTGTTTAGATAGTTAACTTTAGTCTAAGTTATCTCAGTGGGTCTCAAACGGTTTGGTCACAAATTATTCAAAAGATTATTTCCGCGGCACACCTTCATATGATCATTATAGTTATTAAAAAAAAGAGAATAAAGGAAAAACAGTTATGAAATACTATATGGCAGTAAAACAAGAATAGAGTTTAAAAGGGGAGTGATTAGTAAAATATCCATAAAGAAAAAGTACATCTGTTTACAGTTCTGCTTGGTGTTGAGAGAGGTATCCATAGATCTCTTCATTTTGCTCTCAAAGTGCACCAGATTGATGCATTTAACTTCAATATTTAAAAAAAAATCTTCCTGGGGGAGCATCCCCCCGGACCCCCTAGAGGAGGTGAGCCCCCCACTCATAAAAAATACCACTTTACCCCTGCCTATATGCCGTGAGCTGATTATCGAGCCTTCATTGTAACAGTCGCGGGTGTACTGTGTGTGTGCGTGTGGGGAGTGTTGCAGTGAAAAATGCCACTAGTGCCGCCGCCACTGTGGGCTAAGCCCCGAATGTTTTCAGGTCCAGGCGACGCCCCTGGTACAAACCCAGATCTGGATTCTGCATCTGCCCGCAGGCCATAAGGATAAACAAAATGTTTGTTTGCACCATTCCCCGACTGCCTCATCTCCCCCCCCCCCCCCCCCCCCCCCGAATCTGATCAATCAGATCAATCAACAGAGATTACTGTAAACCCAGAGGTCAGGGGGAGGGCAGCGAGCCACTCAGAGTTCACACACACACACACACGCAAACATTCACACACACACACACACACACACACACACACACACACACACACACACACACACACACACACACACACACACACACACACACACACACACACACACACACACACACACAAGCTCCAGACAAATCTGTGCAGGAATGGCAAACATGTAGCCTACTAGTCCACGGAAGTGTAATTTTATTGAAAGACAGATTTCACCTGATTTATACAACCCTGCTGCGATGTGCACTTTTCTAGATTTCACACAAATTAAATGCATGTATGATTTGAAAAGCCTTTAAAAGACGCCGTAAAATCCCCAAAAAGTTGTCGAACGTAAATGTAAATGTGATTGTTAAAATATATGCGTGGAAATGCGTTTGATCCAGAAAGCTGTACAACTGACAGACTGAGATATTTCTTGGATCCTAGGGAGAGAAAAAGGATTCAGGTGCGTTAATAAAAGACTCGGGAAGGAGGAGGTCTAATGTAAATTACGCACGAGTTTTACGCAACACTTTCTGGAGTTCCTCATCGACTTCTGGATAAAATCTGTTTGGAGTCAAGTTAAGGTTTGGCCTCTTTTCTAAATATTTAAAACACATTTTCCTTTTTCTTTGCTTGTTTCTTCCTGTGTTGGTTTGTTCCTCTCACTCTCAGGGGGTTGAAAACTTTATTCAACTTTTGTTTCCAAGCTGTTGAACTCAAAGTGTATACGTTGCACTTTACAGGCAAAATAATGGAATGTATTAAAGTATGTTTACTCAAGTACTTGTACTTTACTGGAGTATTTCCATTTAATGCTATACTTTGTATTCTACTCCACTATTTTGGCAGCTAATATCGTACTTTTTAATACATTTATTAAACAAAAATACTTAACATGTTCAGATTATAAGATAAAACAACATATACGCAAAATAAGTACTTTTGGTAGCCTACCTATAGTATATTTTTGATGCAATTATTTTTGTACTTTTACTAAAGTAGGATTTTGTATGCAGGACTTGAGTGTAGTATTTCTACTTTGACTTTAGTGAGATATCTGAGTACTTCTTAAACCTCTAAACGTATCTGCTGGAGTAAATGACACAGTACCAAAAAGATAACATATGGAAACTCAAAACGGTTGAATATGATTTCGTTAAACCAATGGCTAAAATAACAAGACCATCAAACTGCAGTATCTTTAACCCGTTTGAATAAATACATGAATAGAAAATGCGTGCTTTGTATGAACTAAGTGCTACTAAAAAAGCTGCATGTTTTATAGTGTAAGCTACATGCCAGTATCATTACAAACCTATTTTAGGCGAAGTTATATATATTTACGGACGTTGGTGACATCTTTCGTTAAATAACCAAGAAACCCGATATCTAATTTTATACATTTAAAACGGAAAATAGGCTACTAGAGTAACTAAGACAAATAAAAGGACTAACAAATTATATATAAATGCAATGCTTAATACTTAACTTGTGTATGTGTTGCATTAAAGGGCCAAACCATAGATTATTTTTAAATAAAGTTTCAGGATTGATAATTGTAAACAAAGTGTTAAAGGTTATCTGTTTAGCTTACGAGGTGACCAATATTTATTACCAATAAACATCGACTTTAAAAGCTTATATTTCATGTATATTCCTCATTCTACGACTATTAACAATAACTAAACAAGTGTTTTGCAGCCAAAGTAAAAGACTGCAACGATGCAACAAATACGATTTTAAAATACCTCACACACAAAGTGAAATTGATTTGACATGCTGTGCAAAGGGTGAGAAAAGAGCCTAAAAAAGCATGTCTTGTTCTTTTCTTGCAACACGGATCCCTCCGCAGATGTGCGTCAGTGCCTCGTGTATAGAGCCGGTCTCTGCGGACTTTCAGCCGAGTCCCGGTTTGACTCGGGACTCGACCTGAGAGCCGGGATCCGAGCTGACCTCTGCAGGGTCTGCAAACTCCTGCTTTGTTTCTAAGCACTAACACGTGCATCATTCAGGCAGCACATAGTCGTTAATCTATTCTACTCTGTTTCTTCTTGCACTATTCTTATTTGTTTTATGTCCTATAACTATGTAGGAGCTTGGGACTTAAGCTTTTCATTGCCATTTCTACCCTGAAGCTACTGTTCAGTGTTCATATGACATTAAAGCCTTTGAATCTTGAATCTAAATATAGTTCAATGTCAAATAGACTTTAATGTTCTCAATAATTAGAAAAGGCCTACATTCAGAGTTACTAACACTTATAGATCTTACAGTAACCAATGTCCACTTTCTTGCTGCTACTGCTTGACTTATTTGTGTTATTCTTTATGTCTAACACGTTTAAGCTCGGCTCTGATTTTGCTTTGATTTATTTTAGGAGGTCTCAGCCTGCAGGGACAGATCCTCGCTTTTTAACCATGTGTGTGCCCTGTCTCTTCACTCAGATAAACCTAACACAGCTCTGCATCAGTAACACCAATCTTTTTTTATTTTTGAAAATGTGTAAGTACGCCTATAAAAAACAATGAACTATGAATTATTCATGTGTTTGGGTTGAGAAAAGAGCAGAAATGTGCAGTAACTCTGCAATTTGCCCTGTCCATTCACTCAAATAAACTGAATTTATAACATCATCAGTTGTCTGATCTGAATTGGAATAATATCCCCCTCTCTTGGACCTCTGGTGGACCCGGGTGAATGGCTAAAGGCACTTTTCCACAACCAAATAACACCAATGGCTATTTAAGTAAATGTGTTATACAACGACTGGAAGTGAGCCAGAGAGAAGAATCCTCACCTTGTTTTGATACACTAATGTCAAAAGGGCCAATCTGAAGAACACAAACTCACTGATACTGCAAAGCTTTTTTCTACTGTGTAACGTGGACTTAAAAGGCAGCTGCTCCAACTAAACTGTGCCCTGTTCAACTGTAACATGTTTTTTAGTGAACGTTTGTTGTTGCTTTGTGTTATTTATTGGTCAGGAGGCAGTCCATGGTTCCTGCCAGTCTAACCAGAAGGTCTACTGATTGTTCTGGTTTCTTTATCATCTTCTGAATTCATTGTATTTTGTAACAGGACGCTCCTAAGCAAACCTACATTCTATATATTCCTTCATGAATCTTGAGTTCACATCAAATGTTGCTTTGTTTTCAAACGGCCCTTACCAATACAAAATGAAAAGTGCAATACATGCATATTAGAAGCAAATGCTCTGGACTCAAAATGTGTTTTATAATGTGTAAAACCACAAAGAAGTCCAACATGAATTTGAACAAGATATTGGAAGATACAAGGAAAACACATTTTAGTACATAAGACTAACAAAAGGATTTGGAGTGATCTTAAATATTATTTTAAGTTAATATTTAGGTGAACATTTCAGATTTATACATACTAAAATAGAAAAGTAAATTACATATTTCTTACCTCACTCTAGTACAGGAACTTAGCAAACAGAAGGTCAATGACAATGAGGTTTTGTAGAGCTCTTGAATTACATATTTTGTATTAATGATAAGACGTTTAAACAGTTTTAATATGTAGACCAGTTAATCTTGTAATAAACCCAAATTAAAGAGCTTCACATTAATCAGAAATGTATTTTAATAGTATTATAATCTCTTCTGGAGCCTCATGAGAGTGTATTGTGTGAAGGTGAAGCGGTGCAGACTGCCACCAAGTGTTCCTGCGATGAACTGACAAAACTCAAACTCATACACACTTTTTTTATTTATTTTCAACATTAAAAAATACACATCACACCCACAGAAGACAAACGGCTACATTCTTGGAACAGTAACCTATTTTCAGTTTTACATTAAAGCAGACATTATAAAGCAAACATCAAATACATGTTCTTTATCTGAACTAAACCGACAGCTTGTGGTCGAATATGTAGAGAAGTTACACACAGAATCATTTCCTTTAAGACCGATGTATTCAATATGGTGTAACAAAAACTGTTGATTCTCACAGAGGAAATGTTAGGATTTTGTAGGAAATTGGAGACGGCGGTGCAGCCAGATCACGGCACAAATGTAAATTAGGCAGAGCTGACAGGCAATTGAATGAATCCTCAATGCCTGTCAGCTCTGTGTGGTTCGTACTGTGATCAGACAGAAGCACCTGTTGGAGCAAAGCTGCTGGAAGATGGATTCAACACTGAAACGACAACAAACAGGCAGCTGGTGCGAGTGTTATTCCCGTGTGAGAGGATGTGATGGTAAAAACAACATCTGGGTTTTAAGGGAAATGACAGGACGGTACAATGAAAGGCACTTTGAGTGACATGAGTGTTCTGAAGGCTTTGTAGATGAATTCAAACAAAAGACAAAATAAATCCTTCACAAACTCTGCTGGACAAATCCACCCACAAGCCTTAAACGCAAGATGATTTAAAATAGTGATTAATCTTACTATTATTTTCTTAATTAGTAGACAATTAGATTGGCCTGTCCAACGTCAGAGAATAAAGAAAAATATGCAAAGTGCTGTCTTTTTAACAAACACCCCAGAGCCCGGAGATATCAAATTTAAGAGCCTGAAAAAAAAAGGTTTTCTGAATGGCTAAGGATAGATTTCTCAGTTGATTTACACCTATTAACTGTTAATGTTGCTTTGGTTGAACATGTCTTTAATTGTGGGGAAGGTGGGGGGGAAAACAACGTCTTTTTAGCTAAACAGTAAAGAAGTTTGATAGCAGGGTTTTTAAACGTAAACGCTAAACATCAGACGCACGTTTTGAAGCAATATTCTCTTCTGTTTTTATTGCTCTCTTTCTTGCTAATGTTCACACATGTTGTTTGGGATTTCCTGGGATATGCAAAAAAATCAGTAACTTAAGTTGTCTCGGGGTAACGATATAGAGCAGTGTAAAAGCCCTCTACTTGGATTTGACCTTTAAATGGAGAAATGTGACCACACTGAAGGAGTTTGTCCAATAAAAGAAAAAAGCCTTTAGATTGAAGGATCTTTACTTGATGGTCTGTAGTGCCCCCTTGTGGTGAAACAGAGACATTACAGGCTCAGCTTTGACAAACTCTTTCCCCCCGATGTATATTCCTTTGCTACAGGTCCATTTGAAGCTACTTTATGAATAAAAGAGCCCTTGTTTACTCCCTTACCTTTGAACACATTCAGTGTATATGTCAGGAGAAGAGGTGAAAAGGGATCTGATATCGGATTCAAAGAGCGCTGCTGCCCTCTAGAGGCTCAGTAAGGAAAGTACAACTGAATACATCAAGGTGACAAAAAGAGGATTGGGAGGAAACTGTGTTCAGATGCTGTTGATGTTGCAGTTGAGGAATGTTTTTGTGTGTAAACGTTCTCAGGACGCACGTTTCCTCTGAATCCAACACTGAACACTGGGCTGCTCAACATACTGTTTGGACATTGCGTGGCACTAAATCCTTAGTGTGTTTACCTTCTTGCTGTATTTGTGTACACTTCTCTGACGGCAGGTATGTGTGTGTGTGTGTGTGTGTGTTTGTGTATATGTGTGTGTACTTTGGGTGGAAGTGGAGCCGGATCTTTAGTCGAATCCTTGCCAGTCGCTCTGTTCAGAGTCGTACTCCAACTCCACCCCGATGCAGCGCACCCCCTCCAGCAGCATGGGCGTACCGTGGTGACGATCTGTATTAGTGACACAGTGACATAAATTCACTTTAAGAAAGGTTTTTTTAAACACTTTTCAAACCATAATAGCAATGGGTGAAATACTTTTTATCAATAGGCGTTAGACATGGTTCATGCCGTCTAAGGTAATACCAATCAAGGTGATTCAAGTACATTTGTGGTACTTCTAGAGTGGCATATTTTCTGCTTCTACTTGACCACATTTGAAGGCAAATGAGGCGAATTTACTCTTACTTAGGAAGGTAGAAAGAAGGTAAAATCCTTGCTACTTTCTCAACTCTGCACAGATGTAAACACCAATACAATACCAATACACCAATATGAATTGTGTGTAAATGTGTCATTGTTAGCTTTGGAAAGTAACTGAAAATCACGGACAGAGCCTAGACTCATCTGATTTTGTAAAAGGAGTGAGAGGAATAGGTTTCTGACGTCCATCTGTTGAAGTACGCTGGTAGTCTCACATCTAGCCTGTTTTGCCTTAAAACTCATCAGAATGAACACTCACAGGATGCCATTGAAGGGACGCAAGAATGGGAATGATGTGTCCTTTTTTCCTTGTGAAAGTTTTATGTAGGCATACAAAACACTCTGGAGTAGAGCCACTGACTCTTGGTTGAGATGCAAGTTAAGAGCCTGTTTCTCAAGGAGTGTGAGGGTTAAAACATGTGATTCTGACTGGATTGAACCAGCAAATAGTAGTAATAAGTATCAGTCCCACTTTGCAGGAAGATAATCCATGTAGTGTGCACAGCGAGAAGTGGAGAAGGAACTGACTGAGACGCTCGCTTTAGGGCAACCCTTCCCCCTCAACTCCCTCCGCTCTGGAAGTATCCGATTACATGGATAAGACCCTCCCCCAGTGGAGCACGTTACCCTCCTGTCTGCTGCAGAGCACAACACAATAGACAATCACAGAAATTAGAACGGGAGATAAAACAGCTCCCTCTTTACTGCGACACACCGATTTACTGCTTCAGCTCTCAGTCATGGTGATTATGGACACGTCTGTGTTAAAAGACATTTACGGGACATTTAACACGTCCACTGAAGCGTTTTTTTAACCACTCGGGTCGCAGGTTTCACAGTGGGATGTTTTAAAACCACAAATAAAATGAAAAAAAAAAAATAAGGTCTCTCTCTGTGATTGGTCGTGCTCGCTTATAAATATATTTACTGTACATACAGTAGCATGTAAGCATTGGTGGTTCAGTGGTAGAATTCTCGCCTGCCACGATTCCCGGCCAATGCAACATCCTTTTCCCCCCGTTATTATGACCACGGTCACGATCGGGAGCAACGGCAGCCGACACACATGGCAGTTAATGTAAAAAAAAATACTTTGAAAATATTAGAGCTGCAACATACAGCTCATTTCAGCATGAACTCATTATTTTCGCAAAATGTATTGTAAAAGAAAAAATGAATGTGCCCCTTTAAAATGTTCATGAGCTCAAAGAGGCACCTTTAAAGTGCGTTTATTTAATCGACCAATGATTAAATCGTAAAAAAACATCCAAACCTTCAATTTGAGGACATAGATTTGGTCCACAAATGATTGATCAAGTAATAAACGATAATGAAAAAGATTGATTTCTTAACCGCTTCTTGTATCCCACCAAAGTTAGCACCAATACAGTATTGGTGTATTTCAACAACACTGAACGTACCCCCCCCCCCCCCCAGTGTCATTATACTGTTATATCATCCTCATCCAGTCACTGATCTAAATGCAGGTTAGCAGCTAAGAGTAAAAGCAGAGGCAGAGCTTAATCCTTTGATTTGGTCGCCATCCAGACCTCAATTACACACATCTGGACAGATGTTCAGGCCACGGTTTGTGAGTAAAAATAAACACAACAGCCTCAGGAACACATATGTATGCGTATACGAACACACACAATAGCTGTACTAAATGCACGCCAGAATTAATGGTGACGCACAAACGACCTATTTACCTAATTCTCCATCTGCTGACACACATAGCATCGTCTAATTCAGTCTCAGTGGAGTAAATGCACATTCATTGCAGGAGCTTATTGCCTCAGAGAGCTTCTTCATTGACAAAGACATAAACAAGAATGTCATTTTAATCTAAATAGTAACATTTCATATCTATTTTAAAAAGGGCTGCTGGTGATTAACTTGACTCGGAGTCACCAGCAGGAGGCAGTAGCACACAAATTAAAAATAGTGTGAGCTCTGTTTCAAAGTTCTCCCTTCAAAACTAAAAGGAGAAACTACCAGATGCCAAAGTAAGTCTGTAAGTAAGTGCGTTTTTAAAACATGATCCACTTATTGTCAAAGAAAATTGAAAGATTGGGTCAGGGATTAACATGTTAGTGTCAGGCAGAGGTGGGAAGTAGTGGAGTACTTTTACTTCTTACATTTTGAACCCAAATACCTGTACTTTCTACTTCTTACACGTTGAACCCAAATACCTGTACTTTCTACTTCTTACATGTTGAACCCAAATACCTGTACTTTCTACTTCTTACATGTTGAACCCAAATACCTGTACTTTCTACTTCTTACATGTTGAACCCAAATACCTGTACTTTCTACTTCTTACATGTTGAACTCAAATACCTGTACTTTCTACTTCTTACACGTTGAACCCAAATACCTGTACTTTCTACTTCTTACATGTTGAACCCAAATACCTGTACTTTCTACTTCTTACATGTTGAACACAAATACCTGTACTTTCTACTTCTTACATGTTGAACCCAAATACCTGTACTTTCTACTTCTTACATGTTGAACCCAAATACCTGTACTTTCTACTTCTTACATGTTGAACACAAATACCTGTACTTTCTACTTCTTACATTTTCCAAACAGGCTGGTTCCTTTAGTTTGAATGTGTGTTTGGTGGCGTGATCATTATTATTTAGAGTCATTGCGTGCCTATTGATTTGAACACGATCCGTGTATCCATCATTTCCTGGTCTTCTCTAAAGAAGAGGGACCAATGAAAACGTTGTCATGTTGCCGTTGTTCAGCATGGAAACATTCATTAGCTAACAATGACATTATTGTTCTATTAATATAAAGGGAGGTCAGGTACTCTTTAAAACAGCTGCTAGTTATGGGTACTTTTTACTGAAGTACATTTCGAAGCCCATACTTGTGAAAGTTATTATTATTATTACTATGAAGCAGTGCGTAACAATAAGTCCATGAATTGAACTTACTTTTTGTTTGTATCTTTGGGGTTTTGGATTATTGGTTGGACGAAACAAGCGGTGGAAAGATCATTTTAGATAATAATTGTGGCTAGTTTACTATAAAAAATAGAAAGGGCAGTTCAAAAACTGACATTGTAGTATCTGGTGTTTCCACTCAAGCTTAATATATTTCGTTTTTTAGCCAGTATGTGTATTTGCCTATGTAACGCACTTTGAATTGCCTTTGTGTCTGAAATATGCTTTAGAAATAAATGAACCTTAACCTTAAAACATGAATGAGACACATTCACTCCCCGAATGGTCAAAAAGATAACAAGAGCTCATCTACAAGCTGCAGCGTGTTGCAAAGATAACAACTTGTATGAGTAAAGCAGCCTCACCCATGACTCTGGCGTGAACTTTGACCTTAACGCAGACGTCCTGGTTGGTCTCGCTCAGCAGCAGCACCTCCTCACACAGAACGCCCTCCTGCTGCGCCATGTACTCACACGTCACCTTCAGACCTCCTGGGAACACACAGAGAGAAACACAAATACAAAGAGAGGTCGTTTTTATATCTCACATTTCATACCCCAAAGCCACCCAAAGGGCTTTCGGGAAAACACGAGTAAAAGTACAAGAAACAAATGATAAAATCAATAAAAATGTGTTTTTATGTGATTGTAGTTATTACATGTACAGCACTTTGGCCCGACCAAAAATCGCTTTTAAATGTGCTTTATAAATAAACCTTGATTTGATTTGATTTGATTTAAAACGCCTGCAGAGTAAAATGATATAAAAACTGAAAAAGCACGATAAAAACGGTAAAGAGAACCGAATAAAAATGTATGAATACCTCTTCAAACTGGCTTTTAATGTGTGATTGTTGTTTTACTATATTTAATTGTTGTCTTTTTCTTTGTTTACAACCTCTATAAAGCGACTTTGAGCACCTGTAAAAGCGCTTACAAAATAAATGTAATATTATTATTATTATTATTAATACAGAAAAGTATGAATATATTAAACACAAGGAAAATGTAAGCTGAGAGAGTGTAATCCACCAATCAATCAGCTTTATTTGTGACATATTTATTTATTTTGTGATCACACAGTATACAGAAATGTAACCCCGCTGGTATAAAGGGTGTTACAGTAAAGTACAGATGTAGCACTCCAGATAGGACTCCACCCAGCGGACCTCCACCCAGCGGATCCCACCCAGCGGACTCCACCCAGCGGATTCCAACCGAAAACCCAGCGGATCCCAGTGGCTGGGGGCGTTGCCAAATTGCTAAGAGGGCGTTGCCAAATTTCCCCATTTGTTCAATTACAGGATTTAACCATGAGATGGCGCTTCATTCACAAATACACAAAGACAACTGGGGGTGTTTCTCAATCGCGAGTAAAGCTGCTTCAGAGCCACTATTTCAAGCATACTACGTCATCGAGTGCCGCCGAAGTACTGTTCCAATCTCCAGCATACTTGGAAATCTACCGAGCCCGGCGTACTTCGTTAGGAGAAATTTCGAGGCTGCACATGTGTAGACTCCGCGGTCTTAAAATCCCCACAATGCTTTGCGCATGGACCAATTTCCCCAAATCTGTGGCGGAAAATGTAAGGCGGGGCCTCTCATATGACGCACACCTGCACACTTGCTAGCGTGTTCCACTCTTCGTTTTCCAAATGTCAGGAAGTATTCTTGCCTCGCTTCTGAAGCAAGACGCTCGGCAGACATGTGCTACCAAGCAAGCGTACTCGCGATTGAGAAACACCTTATGTGTTGTAGACCTTAGACCTGTAGAAGTAAAGGTCAGTAACCTGCTTCAGTTTCATTTAGGGGGAACGAATCCAAGTAACATTAGACGATCACCTTTGGCACAAATCTGCAGGTTTAGTGACGCGGGGGGGAAAGATTCAGAACACTTTCAGGTCAGTCGTACAATAGATGTTTAGAAGGTTAACCACCTCCGACAACAGGAATACAACACAAACACAGGAAAGTGTCTGAAAGGGAGCTTTTAGTTTTTATGATTCCTCAGAGACGGATTGCTGAGCTAACACTGTCTCCACTGTCTGTTCCTGTAATCCTCAGCCATCTGGTCCTGCACGCAACTAAACATAATAATGGTGCAACAAGAGAGAATTACTTCACATCAGCTCTTCCTGCAACAAAGACAGGCTCATACTTAACTTGTTTCTGGGAATTACACTCTGGATAAATGTTGCCTTGTATATATGACTCAGGGAAAAAAACCCTGCCTTGTTAAAGCTCCTGACTTTAAGACACCTTTTTAAAGGGTTCAACAAAAGAGTGTTGTTTGCAGCTTGAATGAACATCAAGAAGGAGCAAAAAACGTCTCAAATGCAACATAATAAGATAATAATGTTTGCCAGAAGGTTGAGCAAATTGTCCACTAATTGTTAGATTGGTGGTTTCGAACCCAGGTTTCCGCACTCTGCATGTACAAGAGTAGTTTTGTAAGATACTGATCCTCAAATGGCTCATTATGGCATGTAAACATGTCACAACATACAAATATGAACCTTAAAATGAGCATAATATGTCCTCTTGCAGTGGCGGAAAGACTTAGAAGAAGCTACATAAATGCAAGTCCATATATGTTTACAAAATGTTGGATAAAAAGATAAGACATTTCTGTATGATAAACAGCTGCCTTTGCTTCTTCACACTCTGATTGAAAAAGCTATGACGGTTGTTTGTCCTGGATTTAGCATTTAAGAAGTTGTTATGTATCTGTGCTGCCTGAGAGAAAGACTGCAGACACAACCAAGGGCTGAAAAAAGTTCTGCCAATTTTCAGGTAAAGAATATTTGTATCTGTCTTAAATCGCTGAATTCCCTCTGACCCCAACTGCCCCACTGTGAGCACAGTATGCCTGCTTTCATTAGCAGTTGTAGATACAAAAGGTTAAAAGGGTTAGAGACACCATGATTGGACCAGCAGACAAGGCTTCCTATCTTCAGAAGATTCAAAAGGTTTAATGTGTTATCATATACTACTAACGTAAAACTACGGTGTAAAAACACAGTTTCCTCAACAATGCAATTACAAGACATAAAACACATTTGAAAAAACAACCACAATACAAAAATAGTGCAAGCTCAGGCGTTAAGTAGTCTTAGTGGGATAAAACTTTAGTCCTGATGCTGAGGTACCGCTTATCAGACGGCAATATAGTTTAGTGTCTGTTAAGTTTTAATAGAATCCAAGGCGAGTCATTTGACTAGCTTACTATATGTGATAAAACATTTAGCTATGGTATTAACTTAAGCATGTTTTCTTCTGTGTTCATAATGCTTTCTTTAAAATGTATACGGAGACTCTGCCATGTTTATTTGTGAGTTGTTCGTCCTCTAAAAGGCCTTACCCTCTGGTGCCGGTGTGATATCAGTGATCCGGAGGTGTGGACTGGGCACTGGCGCTGGACACACATCCTTCCCCAGAGCCGGGACATCGGGCAACGTGAACACTATTTCATACCGGTGCTGCGTCTTCAGGAAGCCGACCTGCAGAGAGGGAGTTGAAAGGGAAAGAGTTGGGATTAAGAGGAAAAACAATGGCTGTCTTTCACTCTCACTCAAACTTTGGGATAATCCTCCTGTTACATACAGAGAGAGGGGTTTATAGTGAGAGAAACAGGCCTCATAGTGCATAGTGTAAATCCAATACAGCTCAATAAATAAAGGATTATTTTATATGAGGGAAATGGATAAGTAATTCTCATAAGCACTGGCAGAGTTTTCCTTGAGGGAGTCCTCTAATTGAAATCATTTGTTATTGCTCTGGCGATCTTAATCCCCCTCACCTCTGCCAAATTGGCAATTTAAACACGAGCTCCTGGATTTCCATCAAGTCCAAAATCTTCCAATAATACTAATCTCGTGTGGATAGATTTTGGAAGTAATACAAAAGCTTAATCTTACTCATGGTCACACCTTCTACAGCAGTTTGGAGGATGACACGCTCAAAAAGCTCTACAACTCAAAACATGGACCCCAAGGAAGGCAAAATTCTAAGTTGGCGACGATTTCTTTCAGATATTTCCAGATATTTTACAGAAGAAGCACTTCCCGTTAAGCATTATATCCAGATTTAATAAAAAATTATTTAATTTAAAGTGGACCTATCATGCTATATTTGAATAATATAGTGTAGGACCATACCTATATAAGGCATATTTATACTTTTTTTTTTTTCAAAATACCAAACAGATCATGCATTTTAGCCATGCCTCATTTCGCTCAATTTGACATTTTTTAGATCTGTTTTAGCAAGGCCTGATTCTGTGAGAACAGCACCGCCTACAGGCCTGGCATATGTACTACAGTGTCTCCAGCGCTTTCGAACGGCAATGGCCGTGGCTGTCTCCTCCTGATTGGTGGAGTTGGCCCAATAGCCGTAGCGCCACCGTCCTGACGTCAGGAAAGTGTTCAAATCTGGATCAGTTTTTATCAGATCCGTTGCAGCCCCTTTTTTAGAGATTTGGGTATGGAGGAAAATAGAGAGGGTTGTGTTTTCTGACACTTGGTGAGTTCCCTGGAACACCGGGGACACATATTCATGTCTAAAAGACGTACAAAAGTGCATTTTGCATGATAGGTCGGTCCCCTTTAAAGGAATTTATAGTCACAAAAATGGAGAGATTTTAATTGATAAGTTGATGCAAAGATAACGTATGATTGATTAACCATTTCAGTGTTTTCTTTTAAGGAAAAAACACCAATCATTTATCCGGTCACAGCTTGTGGAAAGTGATTATGTTCTGCTTCTTTCTGATTTCTATTACTGACATTTAAATATCCTTGGGTATTGGGACAACTGGTTGGAAAAAAAGAATTCCCCATTGTATCTGGGAACTGATTAATTGAAGAAAACATCAACCAATAAATCAATAGACAAACTTCCGTTGCAGCCCTATACAAGCTACTCAATAAATCAAGAAGAAATAACTGACGTAACCAAAACACAACACTGTCTCTTATTGCCACTGAATAAGGAACAATTCACATCTTTTCAATTCATAAAATCCACAATGCAACATGTAAAAGGAGACTATAAAAGGTAGGGAAGAAGTGATGTGTAGCCTAGTGTAAAACAAAGAGAAAAATTCATGAGGGAGTCATCACAGAGCCGATTGAAGAAAGCTTCACAGGAGGCGAGATAAAAAGGAGAGACACAGCGAGAGAGAGAGAGGAGGAGACCGGAGGGAGGTGCATGCAACGAGAGATAAGTCTAAAACCTCTAGAGCTGGAAACGGCAGATTTAGCCCCAAAGGACCTCCAGTTAGAGCAGGAGAGCAGAGGCTGCAAACAGCATGAAGTGAGAGAAGCAACACTGCAAGAAAAACAATCATTCTGTATAGTCCCACGCATGTCCAGACACAGAGAAGAGACTCTGACAAATGTATTTTAAATGATTTTATACGGCAGATTTCAATGACAAGAGACTCAAAAGCAATAACCAATATGAGAGATTTCAGTTACTTAACATTTGTGTACGATTGCACAACTGAGCGATGACACAAACGCTTCATTTCTGAAGAAGTGTAACACTGGGAGTAAGACACACCCAGAGACACAAACGGCTCATCGTTCCTCCCAAACAATGGAGCAATTCTTTACACAACTAACGGGGAAATGCCACACATTTTATGAACTTGTATATCCAGTTAACCAAGTGAATTCAGTGAGTAGTGAATATGAAACGCCATCTCCGTCTTGAATACATTCTGGTTTACAGCTGTTGGCAAAAGCTCGAGTTTAAAATGTATTTTGCTGCGACTCCAGATGGTGATTTTAATTCAGTGCTGTCATGCATCTTAAACAGATTATCTAACTTGAGCTAAAGTCATATTCAGGGTAAGCATGACTTGATAAACACACCAGAGTAACTGAGAAACTCCCAGAGTGACTGGAGTGAGTAAACATTTTGTTCTGGTTGCTGGCTCTAATTATGCTGGAAACGCAACAATCACATATCACCCCGCTTGACAAAGTTGTCGTTAGGAACGTATTAGCAAACAGTTGTCAATTAAAACATCCAGAATATATGAAGCAACATTAGCATTTATTTGGAATCTCCACTTGTTTTATTGAAATGCAATGTTCACGCTCCTGTTAGCTCTGTTTTGGTCTCCACCTCCTTCTGACCTCAATATCTTTACATGCAACTCTTTAGATGCTCCTATGTTTACGAAACAGCACAATACTGTGGATTTTTCAGTGCTTTTTTAGTGTAAACTCCTGCCTATTGAATGTTTAAAAGGTGCTACTAAACAACGCTGACAAGAACAGGGTGACTGACCCAAAACAAAGGGTTTCGGTACAGACTCCTTAAAATGCTAAAAAGCCTGAGTAATGCTAAGGGTAAGATACAGGTGATCATTCTTAGTAGTTTAGTCACTATGTACCCTGCCTTTCACAATACATGCAGAAAGTAGATTCATAAAATGTTGATAGGAGTTGCTTTAACCCTAAATAAAACATCAGTATAGCCTCTCTGATATTTTATAGCACTGCTTCCTGAAGGCAGCTACACGTCCTTGCATCCCTTAACCAGTAACATGATTCAATCTAATGTGCAACCAACAAAAACACAATCATAAACATGTCTAATTCACCCAACTTGAAATGGCCACTGCAGCAGCACTTCTCCTGCTGATCTCTGTAACGCTGACAGCTGCTCATTAGCATCCCATAATTCACCATCTTCACCCACAGAAACATTACCACGTATAAAGTGATGTTTTGACGTACTTACAACAGTGACATTCAAATGAGCTTCATCAAAACTGTTATTCATACAGCTGTTGCATGCATGCTTTCCATCCCACACACTCCCACCTCGTCTTTGGTCTGTGCACCCCCCCCCGGTCCATTTCCATAGCAACAGCAGCCCTCCCCTTAGCTCCACAATGAGGCTCAGACAGGACTCTGCTCCCACTCTGCAGCACGCTGAAAGAGCTTCGACACACACACTCACACGGACAGGCTACTCTGTAACTGTGAAGGTCACAGCCAAGTTTGTAGTCCATTTAAACGACGGACACACGCAGCTTTTAGGCAAATTGATTTGGCTTTGAATGCATTTGAAAGCTTAGATACACTGAGCTTGTACAGAACTTCCCCTTGGGCTTTTGGTTTAACTGAGAAACAGTAGAAAGGGAAGGCTAACCTGAAAGCTTTTTGAAGGTGTTGGTCATCTATTTAGGCCGATTAGTGCACTTCACCCTGGGGAAGTCATATTAACATTTAAGTGTGCCATTAAGAAAATTAAAAAAGTAGAAGGAAATGGGGTGAGAAATTGCAAAGTTAGGTTTATTAAGCGTTAATAAAACGGAGAAGTAATTATAACAAAGACAGCTAAAGTCATAAAATGATTCTAGGTGTGCATAGATAGACAAAACCATGACTTGTTAGAAATGTTGACGGTCCTCTATCTATATTAAAATCAGTCCGATAAGAAGCTATTATCCAGCTGTAGACAACATACTTATCGTTTATTACTTTACTAAACATCCTTAAACTAAACTGTGTCCATGCTCGCAGCTCTGTAAGGCACATCAGATCTTTAAGCTAAATGCTAACATCAGTACACTAGCATGCTCATGCTAGCATGCTTGCTAATTAGCGTTGAAGCGGATAATACGGTTTTGAAGGAATGTATTATTAAAGATTTAACCTTGTATGGATATCCGTACTTAAAAGGTAATCAATACAACAGTTGCCAAGACATTTCACTCACTGTATATAAATAATAGTTAAAGTGGACCTATCATGCTATATTTGAATAATATAGTGTAGGACCATACCTATATAAGGCATATTTATACTTTTTTTTTTTCAAAATACCAAACAGATCATGCATTTTAGCCATGCCTCATTTCGCTCAATTTGAAAAATGTTAGCTCTGTTTTTGCAAGGGCTGATTCTGTGAGAACAGCACCACCTACAGGCCTGGCATATGTACTACAGCGTCTCCAGCGCTTTCGAACGGCAATGGCCGTGGCTGTCTCCTCCTGATTGGTGGAGTTGGCCCAATAGCCGTAGCGCCACCGTCCTGACGTCAGGACAGTGTTCAAATCTGGATCAGTTTTTATCAGATCCGTTGCAGCCCCTTTTCTAGAGATTTGGGTATGGAGGAAAATAGAGAGGGTTGTGTTTTCTGACACTTGGTGAGTTCCCTGGAACACCGGGGACACATATTCATGTATAAAAGACGTACAAAAGTGCATTTTGCATGATAGGTCCCCTTTAAATGATGAAATCACAACACTGTTAATTCATAGAGGTAAAAGCCCTAAAGAAATGCTATTGTTCGAGAACAAGGATTAAAGATCTGTAAACAGCAACCTCTCAAAGCTATGTTTTAATTGAGTAGTTCAGCTTTCTCTCATCAGCAGCCTCCATGTTAATGAAGTCTGAAGAAGAAGAAGAGATACTTTATTAATCCCACACGGGGAAATGCAATTTTGCAGAGCTGAAACAAATTAACTGTCACTGATGTGAAATTTAAAGACACAGACATTAGTTTTCCACATGATTTGATTTGATCATTTTTAGAATTGTTTGAAAGCTTTCGCCACCTTGTGTTGCCGTTGCTTGGCTCCTCCATTGAGCTCCTGCAGGGTTTAAGAGCTGACAGCAGCGAACAGATGAGGAGTCTGATATCATTGTTCAGAGCCATTATAGCCCACAGAGGAGATTAACAGTGATGAGGAAAGACTTTAATCTTCTCCTGGATGTTTCGCAGATAAAGCTCATCAGTGCTCGTAGACAATGAGGACACTAACCCCCCGCTACATCAAAGAATAACTTCTAATATTATATCCATCACTTGAAAAACATGGAACATCGGGAAGTAAAGCCTCTAATTGGGACCGAGTGCAAGACTTTCAGGGCCAGATATAATGTCTGAAAAAGTTTCAAACTTTGATTCCATGCTGGTAACAAATCTGTTTTCATCTCTATCTTAGTTTGGCTTGGGGTTTTAATTTAGAAACCTGCTTCCTGCTCATGTTTTCTTCCCTATTTTACAGTATATCAGGCGTTTTTTTTAATTGCCTGATTTCCTTCTGAATCGGATCCACAAAGACATTATAACCCTGGCAGGAAGATGGACTTGGATGAAATGATCTGCTGTCCATGAAGCAGATGGGACCTGAATAATGTCTGTAGGCAGAAAACTACTCCAGAACACACTTTCTGATCCAAGGGAGCATGTGAGGATGCCAACTGATAACTGAGTCGGTGAAAAGGATGATCATTATCTAATGAGGATAAAGATATCCAGTATTTTAGCGTGACTCAATAAAAAGCAATCAAGTCTAGATTATCATGTTAATTATTTGTTGCATGAAAAGCCTGATAACAGTCATATTATGTGTGCCTGTTATGCACTGACATCGCCTTTCAATGTAAGAGTAAGGCCTGACATTATGTCTCATGTATTGCTTTTAATCACTTCCCTCCATGAGTTTTCTAAAGTCACAACTTGCGCCAAATATGCTCAACCGTAGCCCAAATAATTACTTGGCAAGGTAGTGTAGTATTTCCATTAAAATCATATTAACTGCTAAGATTGTTAGTGCTCTTGATTTGGGAGAGAAATTAGATTTTTTCTGCCGTTTTTACAACAATTTATTTTGAGTTTAAAACCTGAATACAAAGACAATGCAAGGACACTAAATTAACTGCAGCTCTGTACGATGAATACAGGGAGTATCAGCAAAAAGTCAGAAATAAGTGTTTCTTAAAATGAAGTATAAATATTACATTTTGAGGGATGTGAAGCTTGGAGAAAAGTAAAATAAATAAATATGAAATGTAGGCAAAATGTGGACATATTTTACTCGTACAAAGTTGTTATGAGTGTGGGGGTTTTTGGAGGTTAAACACACCTTGACCATGAAGTTGCCGTCATCCTCCGGTGTCACCATGACGATGGAGTCATGCAGCTTCTCGTCGAAGTGAACATGTGTCGGGTGTGCGGCGGCGGGGGATTCCTCTGAGAAGCGAACGCCTCCTGTCTTGGCACAACCTGAATGAGAGGGGAAGAGGAAAGAGTCAGTGAAGGTCTGACGTGAGCAAAAACTCCAACTGGATCCCATTTAAAGGAAGAAAAGGCGTGTAAACCCGTTCCACTCAAGTGTTATAACTGTAGTCAAGAGCAGGGGTTCTCAAACTTTTTGTTTATGCGGACCACTTTTTATTATCAAAGATTTTCGCGGACCACCTCATATGCAAACTGTAAAAATAAGTACATATATAAACGTAGTGCCAGATTCCAAGATTGACGGCGAAGATTAGCTGGTTTTAGGCTCTCGTTAGCCAGTGTCTCGTAGCACAGAACGCATACTGGCAAAGGCTCATCTTCAGTGTCATTGTATTTTCTCTTAATCTTCCCTTTCTTTGTTTTTTTCTGTGGAATCTGGCTTGATGCCTCCGACTCACTCTCATTATCTTCATTAACGGTAACGTTAACCTCTTTTCTCTTCAGAGAACCTGATGCTAGCCACCGATCCATGTTTGTGGTTTTGCATGCGCACACGTAACCATGGGTAACCAGTGGTGAAATGAAGTGTTGTCCGTAATTAACAATAACAAATATCTGCGTTTTAACACTACGTCTATATATGTACTTATTTTTACAGTTTGCATATATGAGGTGGTCCGGGAAAATCCTTGATAAAAAAAAAAGTGGATTTCTTTTTTTTATTTCACGGACCACCTGCAGTACCCTCGCGGACCACAGTTTGAGAACCGCTGGTCTAGAGCACTACTTAAAGGAAAACATCAAATCCACTGTGTTGTCTGAATGCTTAGAGACCTGTAAAGGCACATACTTATGCATACATACAGTAAATATATACAATCATATATAGTGTCAATAGGACAGAAGAACAGAGGAAGAGAAAAGAGAGACAAAGGAAACATATTTGAAGAGCGGAGCGAAGAAGAGAAATGGATGTTGACAAAGTCTGCAAAAGAGACTTTTTAAAAAAAAAATGTTGCAGGAACTTCACCAGGCTGGAGATATGATCAACAAAAAAAGTCCATGAGAGAAAGTGTGTAATGTTCAGCAGAGACTTTCGGTAGTAAAAAAGTTATAATTCCTGCTCAGTATACTCAAGGGCCCTCCTCCAACAAATTAGATTATTGGTCACGGTGGTAAAGGATTACACCGTTGGTTATATTGTTTTTTATTATGACCAGAAGTGGCCAACCATGTCTTCCCTTGTTGATAAAGCAGGCATCAGGCAGCTTTAATCGAGTTTGAACCCTGGAGAAAAGAAAGATGGCTCTTTTAAACGGGTCCTCTACGCCTCCACTGGATCCTAGTGTCAAAACAAAGGAGCTAAAGACATTTGGGCTTTCAAGCTAAACACTCTGTATTATTTCTCTGTAGGTTTCACTTCTCTCCTATGACACTGAGACACATTGATATTTATTGTTCTCCGGCCCAGGCATTACTCCCAGTGTGAGATAATGGAAACTTCTTCTCAACCCTTGGGTCTAACTTCACTTTCCCAGACCTATTGTGAGTCAAACACAGAAGCTAAATGTCAAGCACCACTTTTAAGATGATTATTCAATTATCTATGAAAGGTCTCCTATTATACTGTTTTTCATCAATATATTATAGGTCTCAGATATATACAAAACATGTCTCTGAAGTGTTTGGCTCCAAACACCAAACAGATCATTGCAGCATCCCATAAAAGTTTCAGCCCTGTTTCAAAAGTGCTGATTCTCTGTCTGTTACTTTAGATGAAAATAAGGAGCCCCTCCCCACGCCCCTCTGATGCCCCTTTCACACCAACGCGTTTTCAGCTCCGGCTCGGAGCTGGAGCTGAAAAGTACCGGTTTTTCCTGTTCACACCGCAGCGGCGGCGCGTCATAGCTCCGGAATCCGGTTCACTTCCAGCTCCAAAAAATTGTCGGTCTAGAGGCAAGAGCTTCGGAGCTAAGAGGCGGCGTCGCTTACGTCTCTCTTACGTCGAGGCGTGCAGGAAACCAAACCCACCTCCCCTGAACATGGGTTGACTGAAGAGTCTCGTCATGCCTGCCTACAAGCAGTAGCGCTGAGCAAAGTGACTAGAAGGCAACCACACACTTATAAAAAAAGAAACACACTTTATAAAGTCAGGCAACACTAACCAGGCTTCGTGTGATTCTGTTTATTTGTACCTTACTTTGACCATCCGTTCGCTGTTATTGATCATTGTGGAGAGCAGGCAGACGTTTTGTTTGTTATTATAGCAGCTATCGGATGGAATCAATACATGGGCTGCACAGGTTGTCATGTTATGTTATCACAAGTAGAATCATAATGAAAAATACGCCGGTAAAAAGTGCCTGTAGAAAACGGCTTAGCAAGTAGTCAGTTTAGCTTCGGTTGCTATGCTAACATCACCCATGCTATACCAGAGAAACTTTCATAACAGCGTTGTGATGCCAAACAGCGTCAATTCAGACTGACACCAAACAGCGTCAATTCAGACTGACACACATTCACTTAAGGGGAACTGGGGATATGTATCAGCTGCTTGTGTGACAGTCAGACAGTGAATACTTTAGAGCCGTGTGAGCTAACCCGGAGCTAACGGGACAATAAACTCCCGTGGAAGAGCAGTCAGCACTGCAGCGGTCGGTAAATGCCGCTGAAACACATTAATAAACAATGAACCACGGCACTCTGGAGAAAAGTATAAGGTTGGAGAAGTCGTTATTTAATTTAATCTGGCTTCGTATGATTAAAAGCAACACGATCATCGACCCGACGCAGTCCCCCCCCCCGTTGTTGTTGTTGTGAGCTCCATTGGGGAGAAAATCAGCGATGTAAACGGTGACGTCATGACGCAGCAGCTCTGGGCGGTGTGAACAGAGCGGGAGCAGAAAAGGGAAACCGGAGCTGAACCAGAAAAGCTCTCGCTAGGAGCTAGAAAGGGAAAAGCGCTGGTGTGAAAGCCGCATGAGAGATATTTGGTTAAAAAGAACACAATGGTGCTCTAGGAGGAGATTCAGGTGATAAGGGGGGGGGGTACCTTGGTTGGTGATTGGCTAATGGTTACACAAGCCAAAAAAACGTTATGACATCATAAAGTGGCCAAAATCTGATCAGCTCATTTTCAGACAGGTTTTTATAGAAATGGATCAGGACAAAAAGAGAGCAAATCTTTGTTCCTGAAACGTTCAGAATCTCTTTACACAGAGGGGACACATGTTGCTGTGTAAAATACATGAACAAGTGGATTTTGCATAATAGGTCCCCTTTAATGGTGTTTGACCTTTTTCAGGACTCATCCATCACTTACATTTGAATACCATTACCCAATGAACATCTTGGGAAATGTTTGTTCCAGTGTGTGTTGTCCATATTTTAGATTATTATATCATCCTGTTTGTTAACCTTTCATTTATTCTTGATTTGCCCAATACTTAAAAAGGGTACTCCAATCAGGAATATGCTTGAGCTTTGTTTTTAAGCCTTTATTACCAACTCTATCGACAAAGCTCAATCAAGCGCATCTAGCTCTGATTTTTAAGCACCTAAAAATACAAATGCACTTCTCAACTTTGAATCGAAGCCTTTTGGCTCTACTTCTCTGGCTTGGGTACATTGAAATACCCCAGGGTGTCAACAAACCACACTGAACAGGTATCTGGATTCAACATTATTAATTTAGTGAGCTAGATGGGGGTTTTAATTAACACTGGCTGCAAAACAAAGCTTGGGCACAGCAGACTTTTCATTTCCAGTTACTCCTGATGACTGGATTAAAGCGTGGTTAGTTAAGTTATTAGGGTGCACACAAAGTAGTTTGAGATAAAGCAAAACTGAAGTTAAAACTATTTTTAATTTCTTTGAGCAACACTTACCTACGAGTTTGAGTAATGAGGTCCTGCATTAACCAAAGTTGGATACATTTGGGTTATTTCACTTAAGATTCATGCTTTTGTTCTTACTTTAATCTGGTATTCTAGCCAACCTGAGGGACAGGGATATTTTATACTTTTATGTATTTTTCCCAACAAAGCTTTAAGTTGGTATATGACTTTCCTTTTTCTTCAAAACCTAGAGGCTTCTTTCCTTTTCTTCTCTGGACCAGAAATATTTATTTATATCAAACACAGGATTTTCGTCATAAGAAGATCCTTCAACTTTCTCTGCCCAGGTGAAACCGGTGCCATCCGTTTGAATACTTAAGCGTACAGAGCAGAGACAGATAATAACTAACATTTATCTTGAAGAGGAACTGATAGCAGCCTAATTCATTTCATTTTTCTAAAATGTAAAGCCTTGACGTGTTAGATTGACACATTACTCCTGCCTTACTATGACTCAGATAAGGTGGGTATATAAAAAAGGGATGGAGTTGATAATTCTTCAATGTTTTCAATTTGGCAATACTGTAGAGCCACTGTGTTGAACTCCAACAATGCTTTTAATTGAGTCCATATGCTGAATTATGTCTTTGCATATCATGAAGTACGGACCATTAATATCCCACTTGGGCCCAGTTCCATTAAACTTTCATACAGACTCATATTGGAGATTAAAAAACCATGCTATCGGCTATCTGGGTCACAATAATGACTTCAGCAGTTACATAATGTTCTATATGTACAGGATGGTGTGTGTGTGTGTGTGTGTGTGTGTGTGTGTGTGTGTGTGTGTGTGTGTGTGTGTGGGGGGGCTGTTATTGTGATATGTTGTTCAATTTCAGAAGCAGTAAAAGATACACCTTGCAATATTAACAATATCACATCATGGAACTGATCATAAGATATAAAACGCAATATCCCACCAGATAAAGGATAATAGGAGTCAAGGTAGGTTAAGATCACAAAATGAGTTTTCTTCATGGAACAACGTGCTTTAAACTCACACATAAATGAGCCTTAGCAACTTAAAGGGGCCCCATGATGTTTTTTGGGGTGTTTCCCTTTCCTGTAGTGTGTTATAAAGGTTTATGTGCATGTAAATGGTCTGCAAAGGCTAAAATCCCAAAGTTTAGACCATTAAAGCATGTACTGTAAACATGTCACAGTAGCAGCAAAAACATACAATTATTAGCCTGACAATGAGCATAATAGGGCCCCTTTAAGTTTTCCACCTAAAATATCAAAAGTGGTATCTGAAATAACACTGATAAATATATACAACTAATGTATTTGATGACAGGTCTTGGGTTAAGGATTTAACATTCAACAATTTAGAGCATTGTATCATGTATATACTTCAACAATTGGGCAACATCACACATGAATGAAAATATAGGAAGATAAGGATGTATTTTCCCTTGATGTCGGAACCAAGAGACCAAGACTAAGCTTTAGGTTCATCATCACATCACATGACAGGTAGTGTTATTTAAGCTCTCCATTCCTGCTATAAGTGGCTTTTTAAATGAACCCAAGAAGGTTCATACAATAGGGCTCCATTACTGTAATTACTGTCATATTAAACCCATTAATGTCAGGCTTTCATATTGTACAGTGGTAAGAGTTAAAAGGCTTTGAAGTTCAGAAAGAGAGGCGGTTTTAATTTGCAACGTGTCTAACTGAACTTCCCCTCCGTCAGTTTGAGCCTTTCTACCAATACAAGTCTCATCTTCATTGTCGTGACTGTGGTTATTAATTTGTGAAGCAGCTGGCGATAACTTTGTTTGCACAGGAAAAACATATTTGTCAAGGACACATTTCAGTGCATTACTAACGTTTATTCCTTCAGCTGCTTCTACTAGGGATGCACAATTTATAAAAATGTTATCACAATTTGGACTAGTGCACTGTCCAAAATGTGAGCCCGATATTGGGTAATGGCAAAACATGTTGAAATATTATTCTATATTGTGAAATGTGCTGCGAGAAGTCCTAGACTACCAACAGTAATCTACAGATTTAATTGAAAACCAATGTTTGGTACAGTTCCTCAACAGATTATTATTATTTTTAATCACACCATGATCCTTTTAACATAGTCTCTAGTGATAATGTGAATAATGACCATTCCCTCTGATATAGCAATCTTTTAGAGGGAGCACACACACACACACACACACACACACACACACACACACACACACACACACACACACACACACACACACACACACACACACACACACACACACACACACACACACACACACACACACACACACACACACACACACACACAAACACACACACACACACACACACACACACACACACACACACACACACACACACACACACACCCACACACACACACACACACACACACACACACACACACACACACACACACACACACACACACACACACACACACACACACACACACACACACACACACACACACACACACACACACACACACACACACACACACAAGTAGCAGACCAATGACCATAAGCATGCAACCCCCCACTGAACTGGCTTATTTCAGATTAATCTCCACTTCTGTCTCTCCACTAATCTGTCTGTCAGGATATCTGCCTCTGCTGTGCTGGTTGTTACAGACCCCTAACCCTGTCTGTCACCAAGATGTCACTAATCAAACCCAAAATGTGCAGGTTCATTTATGGAGAAACTGGAGTGTTGGACAAAATAATTGCCCAAATGTAGTTTTAATTATGCATTGTTCGCAGGCATCAAAAAACATAATCGCCTGCCGTTGATCAGCTCGATCATGTGATTTCCAAAAAGGACAATGGCCCAGTTTCCGTCCTGTTTTGATAAACTCAAGTCATCTCCCTCACACTGCAAATCACACGCTTCTCCAGCTGGTGAAAACATAAAAAACGAACCCACCTGGGACTAAAGCATTTGTAAAACACAGATTAAATTATACTTTAAGCACACTGCTCGCCAGCCTTATTGCACAAATCCATCTCGGTCTACATTCCTGCTTCTGCATCTGTTCCCCTCGCCTCTGCTTTAACGCAGACAGTGATTTATTTGTTTGATTTCTACCTTTAAAAGCACAATTATCTGTATGAATTGATGTGCTTGTGTAAGTGCGTCCTTTGCATATCTCTTTTCATAAATTCATAATAAAAAGACCAGTGCTCTGATTTCTTAATAACACAAATTCTCCAAAAGGTGGCTACGTACTAATACCGTAAAAAAGGCAACAAACACTTCCTGTGACATTTGAGTGCACATGGAAAATAGAAACAACAAGTCAATAGACAAAGCCCTCTTTCCACCCCTTTTCACGCGTGACCTTAAGAGAACAAAGACCTGCAGAACATTTCTTGAAGACAACAATTACCCATACTCCACTTGGGAGGAGATTAAGCATATTTCCAAAAAATGTGATGAGTCAGTACGAGGTATTGCTTTCCTTCTGTTATTGAGCCCTTCCTGCTTCTGATGAAATAAATGTGCTTGCCTTCACAAAACTCACTTGCAAATCTGCTGACATTGACTCACCAGCGTCAACACACCCTTTTACCAAGAAACTGAAGTGAAAGATCAGAATCGATTTAAACCGATTGATTATCCTTCCCTCAAAGCCCCCAGGATGTCACGCCGGTGAAAAGGTTAATGTGGGGTTTTCAATCACGCTTCTTTATACTGGAGTAAAGGTCTTCCTTGTTTTTATAACACTTCAAAGAAACTTTTAATCCAGGGGAAAGATTATAGGAAATTGAATTCAACTACAGCAGATTAAAGGATACAGCTACACGCATTAGGATAGTGGAAGGGCTTAATCATACAGGAAGTAATCTATGACTTCCACTACACTGAGCAATATACATAAATACAGAGATAAATAAATAAAGCCTGCATGCATATTGAGTCATGTAGACCCAACACAAACACTCAATGTGCAATCAATACCCTTGGAATATCGCCTTGAATGCAACCTTATGTTTTTTTAATAGCAAGTATATATATTTTCTTTTCTTGTTTCTTGTGTTTTATTCTTATATTCCTCTTTTTTATATTTGACTTGTCTTTTTAAGTGTGCTGCACAAGCGTTTTAAACAACTGTACTTGTAAAACCGCTCTTAAAATATATTAATCTTGAAGCTAATCTTGATTTCCTGCCCTTAATCATATTTTTGCAAATCATCGCCATTACATTTTTTTAATAAATGTGCATGACGGGCTGGATTCTGATTAATCTTCAAATGAAATGTCTAAGATCAGAGATGGAACAGTGAAATGGAGAAGATGGAGACTGAATAAGGTCCTCAGGAAATCTGGATTAAGTGGAAGTCGACTGATTTTGTTTCCCTTGCTTCCCCTAATACACATTTATTCAACTAATTTGCACATTTCTGCCACTAAATTGATTTATTCCTCAGAAACGTAAAACTAAATCCTGAGACACTTACGGCCTGTCCACACAGCGGCGTGCGTTGAAGCTTCCCGGCGGGCGTGTCTGAAACTCGACCAACAACCAATCACATGAATCTCCCGGCCCTGACACACAAGCAGCGGTTTGATTGGCTAGAGCTTGTACTGGCATATGATTCGATTGGCTGACGCTTCTGCCGAGGCTTCAAAAGTTGAACATTGCTCAACTTTTGCAGCGAGCCACGCCAGCAAAGCTCCTCTTCACTTCCCACAATGCAGTTCGGCGAAAAGTGACGTCAAAGTGAATGGTGAAGCTTTCAACGCACGCCGCTGTGTGGACGGGCCGTTAGCCCTGGCTGCATGTCACGTCAGCCTAAAAGCCATATCTAAATATACATGTGTTATAGTGCTGATTGAATAACTACTAAAACACTGTGGAGAAGTATCTCTGTTCTTGAAATGTCGCTGTACATCAAAGTAATTACTCACTCTTCTTCGCGGCAGCCATGTCACAGGACTTGTTCCAGTACCGACACACTTGGACACACACTGTCACAGCCTTGTCATCTCAGCAGAGCGACCTCAGAACAACCCTGCAAAGCAAGTTAGGAGACTATGAGGGAGAAGCATGGGACAATAGAGAGCAGGAGAGACAGGGAGAAACGGGAAACAATTGGCAATGATTAGATCAAGAGAGGAGCAGTGGAAGATAAAGGTTGATGAGGAGATTGAAATATCGGTAAGGGGTGTTTTTCTTTCTGAATGCGTGACCCCAGGTTCGCCTGTGTTTTAGCTTGAGAGCACAGCTGGGCTTTACCCGTCAACCCAGGAGTATCACAGACTCCCGGCTGAGACTTCCATTGAAGGAAAACAACAAAACAGTCTAAGAGGATTACCTAGGGGCTGAAGCTGCTTCGCGCAGATGGAAAATGTTCATCAAATCTCTGGGAGACGCCTTATGTAGATATTGAAATAGAGGCAGGGAATAAAGGAACAACATGGCAGCACATACGTGAAAGAGATAGCTCTATGTAATCTAATGCTGCAATAATAGTCAGGAGATCAGCTTTTTGTCAGACACTTGTTAGGGATGCATAATGTGAGGGAAATAGGCGATAACTTGGTTACAAAGGAGATGACTTCTGATTAATAAAGAGGAATCCAAGTGCCGGTCTTTCTGCTGCTTTGACTTCTGATGGAAATTATTACATTATTTTATTAGTTACCAATACAAAAAAACATGATATTAACATTTTAAAGTGTGCTTCTTTACAGATACTCTCTTTTAACTGACTTAATTCCTGAGTGCGGTATTACAGTCTTTTGCAATATGTTTATATTGCGCAAGTTGTCAGCAAATGGAGAACTAAAAGGTCAAGAAAAAGATGGAAAGGGTTTTTCTATCACTCTTTATGCCAAGCAAAAACCTGATTTCAGTTAGTTTGACCTTGTTCTTAGAAATGTCACTTGTGGTTTGTCCAAATGTAGCAAGAGTGGGAACACAAATATGCAGCAATACTAAGTATCCAGAGTTTTTGCCTTTCTTGCTGCGACATGGGTGGAGAGGATGTTACTTCATGGAAAAGAGAAAAGGTCACATCCTTTGAGAATCAGCCAATGATCCACTTTCAGCAGCAGGAAATATCACTGCTGTTTAGGGCACCTAAATGGGTCGCTATGATTAGAAACCCACCAATGAGATTCAAATGAACACCCTGTGAACTGCACCAGAAGTGGAGGGAAAAGGTTGTATCCCACAATGACAGATGTTTACGTAAAAACTTCAGGGGATTGTTGTAGGGCTGCACGATTTTGGGAAAAAATCTAATTGCGATTTTTCTGACAGATATTGCGATTGGATTTGCGATATTTGTTTTTAAGCGACCCAACGGAAGTTTATTGTAAAATGCGGCCATATCTCCGGTTAGGAATGTCGTATCAACGTGCTCCCGTCTCTAGCACAGAGCTACGAGTGAAAGAACTAAACTTACATGAAACTTCAGTTGGGTTGCTTTAAAGTCAAGCTTCAGTTTAAGATTCACCCTGTAATAGAAACATGTGATGGAGCATTACTAACCTGACTCAGATGCTTTGTTTCACCAAACCATCTAGGAAAGCTCCATTGGAAGCCATTTGGAAAAGTATTTCAAAAATACTTGGCAGGTGATTGGATTAATCTGTCTATCACCTACTATCATGGGCCACTTGGTTAACAATGATTGTTGATTGATTGCCACTGATTGGTTAACAATGGCTGGTACATGTGGAGCACAGCACTTCTGATTGGTGTGGATGACTGACACACAAGAACAAACAAAATAATTTGATAATCACATCATTTCAAATCGCGATTTTGATTTAAAATCGATTAATCGTTCAGCCCTATTGTTGTCACATCAAATACATTACTTGCCAAACTGTGTACAACTTGCTAAAGAAAAATGTCTCTATCAAAAATATTCGATCTCTTTGTTGTTGTCATAGCTATCCTTGCTATCAGTAAATATTGCTGAGTGTAACTGGTTACATTTAACAACAGGTTTCAAACTAGATAAACCAAAAATGTGCAACGTTTTCCTTTACAAGGATGAATTGATTCTGTAATCAGGGGTGGACTTAGATAATTCAATTAAACTGTTGACTTTGTGACAACCTGGTAAATCATCTGCTATTGTTTTTGATTCTGCTTGACCTTACTAGTACTCTATCAAGGTGTTCACAATATATAGAAATGTTGGAAAAACCTACAAAATATAACCCAATATTTAACATAAAGTATACTAAGTGTTGAGTAAGTGTTAATAACAGCTGTTCGTCTGCATTAGCCATAATAAAACGCATATACCAGGTATTGTCATGTCTTGTTACTGTTGATTTCGACATGTGTACATACAAGCAGTGTCTGATGTGCTTGCAATTGGGGAAAATGTGAAAATAAAAATAAAAAACTGTAGGTTTGGTTTGGAGATACTCACACAGGTCATTAAACAAATAGTTGTTAATAATCAGTCATTATTAACTGGAAAATGCTTTAATGATTCTCTCAGTTGTTGCTGTACACTCACACTGGGGTTTCTAATGCATTGTACAAACGGGTTAATTATACAGTAACCTTCAAAGGACGAGTGAACTGAGCTTCATTTACATGCATGTCATGACCACCTTATCTAAATCTTGAATCCCGACCAAGCTTCACTGACAGCTCTCCCTCAGCTCCGTGCCACAGTTGACAAATTAAATGTTCAGCAACAGGTTCCCATCTCCTGCTTTGAATTTATGCTTGTTATTTGAAACTGATTTGATCTCCTCCATGTGAAACAGGCACACGCTGACACATTAACAGTATGCTGTGTTAACCCTTTGTTCTCTGTTGCATCAATCAAAAAGCTGAGTTACTTAAGCTTAAAGGTGATTCATTGATTTGTGAAGCAACATAAATCTGAGTTTCACCACTTGAGGTCATTTTAAAGCGAACATGCTAAAAATAAATTCTCTAAAATAGCCTCAAGCTTGTCAAATGATTATATAACTCACAATGGTCAGTTAGTTAGTTATACCTCATTAAGTCTAACACTGTGTAAAACAGCAGCCCTTCAAAACACATGAAGGTTTCACTGTTCAGTGATTTAGAGGGGTGTATCAATGTTATGGTCATTTGTTGGTAGGTTATTGATTGATTGTATTGTTATATGCTGAGAAGTATTTATTAAAAACATTTCCTCCCCTTTTATATTAGGTATCTGGCAACATGTTGTGAAATCTCCATTTGTTTTATAGTAATTACCAATGTATCATAGTACTACATTATTTCAATTGCCTCAATTTAAACTCTCCAAAGGCTTAAATTGTAGTTCCTAATTGTTCATGCAATACAAATAAAGTTTTAAATTAATTTAAAAACACTTATGTCGGAAAAGTATTGATCAAATCACCATTATCATGACATAACGTGACTTTTGTAACAGACACACTATGTATATTCAGCAGCAGTTACTTAAATTAAACATTATTAACTGCTAACATGCTAGTAGCAACAACAACAACGCAATCCTCACGTTTGCTAGGTAGCTATCGCGACAGGTGAGTGCTCAAAAGTTGTCTTCCAGTTTTATTTCGCTTACCTTATTTTTATTCCCTGCAGGTGACACTCGTCCAGGTAACCGACACCGACGACTCTCTGTCTGTGGACTGTGTGTCGGTACGGAGGGGTTTCAGATAAAGGTATTCTGAGATAATATCGCAAGCAGCTCACAGCACAGGCGGACCTTCACTCCTCCTCTCGTCTTTTCTCCAATGCACTTTCTCGCTTGTAGGATTTCCGCGTTTGATCACGTGGTTTGGTCGTGGATCCTAATGCGCCCATATACAGTGTGTGTTTATAAACAGTTTTTTGGCAAATGTTTAAATATAAAAGACACCAGACAGAAGTCTAAGCCTATACTCTCTACTTTTTGTTCTGTTTCACCGAATAGTGAATATTAAACCTAGTTAATATGCAGCGGTTGGCCTCATCTTTCTTTCCACCTGCAACCACTAGTGCTTTACTGTAATTGGATGGCGCCATCTAGCGGTGATGGGAGTGCATTGGATGAGGGAAATTAAAATCATGTTGTATTTCTACAAACTTTTAGCTTTTAAAGCTTTCCCTTACATCCAAAGTTTTGTCAAAGTGGGCCAAGGAGTCCGTGAACGTTTTCAACAGGGGTTTAAAGTAACTAAGTACATTTTCTCATGTACTGTACTTAAGTAAAATGTTAAGGCAATTAAGGCAAGGCAAGTTTATTTATATAGCACATTTCAACACAAGGCAATTCAAAGTGCTTTACAAAAATGAAAGACATTAAGAGCATTAAGAAATATATTATAAAAACACTAATTTAAGGGACTTTTACTTAACTTGAGTATGTTCTGCTACTTTGTACTTCTACTCGACTACAATTCATAGGTAAATCATGTACTTTTACTCCATTACATGTATGTAATACCTTTAGTTACTTTACGGATTTGGATTAATGATGTGATATATTCAACCAATAAATAAGACTTTAGTTACACCTGGAGTAAATTCACAAGCTACCCTGCAGTATACAAAGTCATTAAAACTAGCTGCACCTTTTCCAGCTTTGATAAACACAGTAATGCATCAACAATTATAATACAAACACCTTATTTATATTATTAGAAAATGGGCCAATCTGTATAATGAGAACATTTGGTACTTAAGTATATTTAGATGCCAATGTTTTTGTACTTACTTGAGTAGCATTTGCAATGCAGGACCTTTACTACAGGGTATTCCTACACTCTGGTACTTCTCATTTTACTTAGGTACAAGATATTAGTACTTCTTCCACCTCTGGTTGTAGGCATACTTAATTTATAAGCAAAAAAAAACAAAAAAAAACACACTTTTTAATGAAGGATGGAGATCATTAAGCATCAGACATTCAGACCCACCCACACCCAAAAGTTCCCGGATGGACAGGGAAGAAAAAAAATATCCGGAGCAAAAGGTGTGTTGCACTTAAAGGGCCCATGTCATGGCCATTTCCACTGATCATAATTACATTGTTGAGGTATACTAAAATAGATTTATACTGTGCAATTTTCCAAACTCACATTGGTTTCGCATACAGCATCTCTGTCAAGTATGTGTATTCAGCAGTATTCACTCTCTCCACTAAACGACTCGTTGGAGCTCTTGCCCCCCCCTCCCTGTGAGCCTAGTGTGCTCCGATTGGTCAGCTCGGCCACTCTGTTCTGATTAGTCAACCACCAGAGAGGCTCCGCCCGCTTTTTTCGGCTGGCTCTCAGAACATCAGTCTTATAATGGCGTTGGTACAGCCGTATATTTTATACGCTAACTAACCGAACTGTACCTACAACTGTTGTTATAAAAGAGTGTGACGGCCCCAGGGCCTTTGTGCAGGCGTGTTGCAGGTCTTACGATGGGGTGGAGCTGAAGAGGCTAATCAGCGAGGTGCTATTAAGCCCAGCTGCCCGGAGTCACTCGGCGGCCCGTCTCTCTCCAAAGCGGCTCGGTGATCCTCTCCACTCGACCACCTATCTCTGCATTTACCACAATAAATGTGCCGTGGTTTTGTAAACTCGTGTATGTCTCCTTGTCTTTCCGTTCGTTGTGGCCTACGAGCCGGTCATAACAAAGAGTAAGTTATTTTTACCTGTAATAAACTACTACTTTTTGATGAGAAATCAAATCATGGTTTGCTATATATGAATGATATGTTATAGGAGCAAATAATTCAGGGAAGAAAGGATAGGCCTACTAAGTATTTCCATTAAACTTTATTTTTAGAAATGTACAAAATGAACATAAATATACATATATACATATATCATCCATTCCTCCCCACATCTTGCCTGGGCGCAGCCGGTGCTTTTTAGGACGAGGCCTCAGTGTGGTAGTCCGGTCCCCGTCATGTATTGTCCGCCAGGATCTGGCTGGACGAAATCAAATGCAAATCACAAAATATTAGAGAAACTTAGTTGTCTTAGATTCGTTAGTAGTAGTTGTGGTAGGAGTGTGGATCCATCTAATGAACAGCTTGCCAGCTAATATGCTAACCTAGCTTTCTTGTTTACTTTGGTAGCTAACACGATATGAACGCTAGCTTGGAGGAACGGCAACTATAATGTAGTGTAATAAAACTACTATGAACAAAAGCTAGTGGTTCATATTAGGCTAGCAATAACGTGTTTATAATTGCAATCTTATACGGGTATTCTGCTACGTTCGGTCATACATTGTAACTTGCATGAATACATTGTTTTGCGCTAGCATGTATAGCTAGCCTCGTTAGCTATACATGCAGTATGTACATGTACTGTCACAATGTACGGTAAATCACCCGGTGTGTGTGACTGCAGACATTCTCCTGCCATGACAAACATGTAAGGCCATCTGCTGACATTGTAGTTGATATATTTAAACGCTAGCAACGTAGCATAACACAAATGAGCAAACCCATGTCTAGCTCCGTTGGTTAGATCGGTAGCATACACGCTACGCCAGCTATAATGTAATTACGTTTCGCGACTGACCGCACGGCAAATCACCCGGAGTATACTGTCAATAGGTATTTTGTGTGTGAATGCAGACATTCTCCTGCTATGAGATACATGTATGCAAGGCCATCTGCTGATATTAGAGTTGATATATGGAAACGCTAGCAACTTAGTTAGCACAGTTAGCACTGTGTCAATGGCTTAGCAGTCCCACACAGTTTACACATTTAAACAGTCTTGTTTGATAAATACACAAAGAACAATGCAAACTTACAGGTTGTGTACCCGAATCTTCCCCTGCTCCAAACGGTCCAAACAAACTAGGAATAGCATCGTCCTTCAGTTTCAAATGCTGTGCATATCCGGCCTCAAACTGGGCAATGTTTTGGAAGCTTTCGTCTGTGAAATTCCGGTTCTTCGAACCTCTGAAGGAACAGTGTTAAAAAGAAATGTCAACCACTGACTTCGTCCTGGTTCTTCCGTCGGTAGGACAAACAGCTCAGATTTCTCCTCACATTTCAGGAAACAGGTCCTTGGCAGTGGCATGACTGGATCGATTGTGAACTGAACCAGAGCTTCCAACAGTAAATGTTAGGCTGGCAGAGGGTGCGGCCAGCGCAGCTGGGTGTGGCCATAGCTCTTCGGGATTGGTCCATTTCGTTCCGGGTACCGCATGACATCAGGCCGTACCCGGAACCAAATGGAAGACTCAAATGGGCAGTGACGTATCTCCAACGAGGCGTTTTGGGGAGGTATTTTCTGTGTTAGAGTTTTACTCGCTACAGGGTGTACTTTGAGGGTTTTGACTCTGCACACCGTTTACATGCATAAAAACCTTCATAACACACAAGGGGACGGGTAATGACCGGAAAAGCATGACATGGGAGCTTTAAACTTTTTCTTAATTATTTTGCAACGTCGCTTGGCTTAATCATACAAGTTGGATTTATTATTAACGTGTGTTTTCGGTTCGGTAATGGCATTTTTGTAACGTGTTATTTTATTTGTTTATCTTTTTTGCGCAACTGTGGACGAGCAGCAACGCCAATCAAGCCGAAGTCATTAGCATGCTAATGATTTCAGCTAGCTAACGGCAAGACAGTTTCCACGGTAAGAAAGTAATTTTAGTTACATTTGAATGATTTTTAATAACCGGAAATGTTAACTGCAAATAATGAGAGTTTGTTATATATATTTGCTACTGATTGAGCTGTGGTTGTTTAATACAACAATGCTAATTAGACAGCCTGTCGACTAGCATGCTAGTTTAAAACATGTGCTTAATTAGCACCTTGGCTAAAAGGCTCAGTTTGATTTCTTATGAGTTCAACTTGTGTGCACCATTTGTTTTAAGGATTATATATAATAATGGATTGAGATATATGTAGTCATATCAAATGGAGTTCAACTTGTGTGCACCATTTGTTTTAAAGATTATATATAATAATGAATTGAGAAATATGTAGTCATATCAAATGGAGCTAACTTAAACCCGTAGGCAAAGCTAATGCAAGTTTGTCTAGGCACGTGGTTGGACTCTGCATGTACTCTGCAAGGTGATCTTACTGACAGGTGAACGCTATCTTTTCTGAACATTTTAAAGTCAAGATACTTTTTTGATTGATAACATCTATTTCTTGGCTTTATTAAAGTTGGCTTTTTTAATCACTTTTTTTCCAGGGTTAGGGTATTTGCTCGGTATTTGGAGCAGATGACAGCAACGTTTACAGTAAGTGAACATTTCAAATACTCTGACACACCTCTGTGCTTACCTAGTAATTATTGAGAGCTACTTCAAGACTGAATAAGTGCATACTACATCAGAATCAATATACGATTGTTGCAGGGCTCGAAGTGGTAGTAGTACATGAGCTTTTACATTTTACTCTTTGGCGTATCTTGACTTTTATTTGCGTACCGGCATTTCTCACAGGCTGCTGGTACTCTACTCAGCCCTCTCAAACACGTTAAATTAAAAAGATAAAACCTACATCTGAGTTGCTAGCAGGTTTGTAATCACAACCTGCTTTGGTGACACCAGCAGCCCGGCTAGCTCAGTCGGTAGAGCATGAGACTCTTAATCTCAGGGTCGTGGGTTCGAGCCCCACGTTGGGCGCACAACTTTTCTCTCTTGAAAAACTTTATAGATGGAAAGATAGGTACTTTATTGATCCCAATTTTGGATTTTTTTTGCGTTGCAGCAGCATAAAAAACAAGGCAATGTACATAAGAAAATTAAGATGCAAGAAATAAACAGTCCA